GAATAGGCCGTTTCCCTATTCGGTCTTGTGTGTTCCTGTAGATTGAGGAACTGCAATACCCATCAGTGGTTTGAACTAGCATACAAACACTACTTTAAACTACGCTCTAATGTACATGCACAAAGCCTATCCTTATAAATTAAGAGTACTATTAATTGCTTTTCGGGGTACCACAAAATGGATAGCAGAATAAATCTGAATGTTTCGAACTTCGTCTCCGGTGCTCTTCTAGCTAGACACTAGTTGAAGCAGCTGACGGAATCCAAAGTTTGTTTACACCCAGCTTCGAATATGATACAGTCTGTTTCAGGGGAGCGGCCCTTTTCAGCATAAAATAAAGTGTGTTCACGCCCGGTTTCGAATTTAGCTTAGCTTACGTACCTTTAAGTTCAGTAGGTGAACAAATAAGTTGATAGATCCACGATAATAATGCTGGGACTTATGAAGGACCGATTGCGTGGATGTTGCCAGTAGAAAAAAACAACGCAAGGGGGAATGCAGGAAACTCACTTTTAGTGAAGACATCCGCTATAGAAAGGCCGTACTAAAATTACAGGTTACACCAAAATTGTAGGTTTTAGGATTTTTATAAAATATGGAAAAGCAACAAATAGGAGATGCTTTGAATGGACAGACAGAGAAGTAGGTACATTGATGACTTAGCATCGAATGACGGGTCTGAATTGAAGGTGAGAGCTGAAGACATCGGCCGGAATGTCAGTAAATGATAGGGTTACCCGCTGCAGATATTTTATTGTTTTACATAAAGTACGTGTAACAGCAGACCCATAGGCTGAGAAGAATTTATAGCATGGTAGTAGTGATGTAGCCTTAGACTTACACTCGAAGTGTTTCTGGTGTTACACGATCTCGTATAAAAGCTACTGGTCAAAGTAAGTTTGTGGGAGAATAAGACACGTTATAAGAGAGGCAAATTTTCATCAAGAACAGCGAATCTAACTATAACATTTATTATTGTTGTCATTATGAGATATGTTTCGAGTTATCGGCAATAGGATATTGGTCTGTTATTGAAACGCTTTACTTTCGAAGATCGCAGATACTTGGGAAGAAAAGGACAGAGTGAGGCACCTCTGGTTAGGACATCTGTCTGAATACTGAATAATAAGCAAACGTGAAAACCGTTTCACGTACAGTCGTTAACTTGAAAACGAGCCTTATGAATCATCTGAAACCACTGGACTATCTGTATAGAGTATACCAATTCTAAAATACAGAACGTCTTTCACTTCGTGTCAATAGTACAACCTTCTTTTTGTTATAAGGCCACTTGTTTAGGACAGTTCAATCACCATATCTCTAAAAAGGTACATACATACATACACATACACCAGTATGCACGTCCCTGTAGCTGCTTGTCACTCGCAAGTATTGAGCTTGAGATGGGAAGCTTGTATTGAAGCATGTCGAGAAGTTAGTTGCTTTTTTTCGTAACGTTTCACCCTACAGTGAAAACGCGAATATAACTTGAGGTGACAGGCCCAGCACATAGAGAACACTCAACGGCCAATTATTACTAACGGTCGATCGTCGAAGGTCAGATGTAATATTTCAAAAGCCATATACTTGTAGCAACACATTTTTATACGTGGAAGAAACGTTTAAATACAGGTATTGGCTTATACCGTAAACAATACGCATGTTGGGGCGGATTTTTCGTAAAACAGGAAAGACTTCGATTAACTTGTTTCAGTACCTATACTGCGTTTGATATGAGACCAAATAAAAACAAGAAAGAACGTTGCCGACATACTGACTACGATACAAGCGGGAACACTGAATATAGTTTTATTATATCGACAGTACATTGTGCAGCAAGTTGACATAAATGTCGGTATAACGGTGTCCATATACACTGGCGCTTTTAAATATTTAACGTAAACGTTCAATAGAAATGCTTTAACCAAAGAGCACTAGATCGTACGAGCATCCAGAACCAGCTGGACGTGCAGCGGTCCTTACTGTCGTAGATGTATACATCATGTGTATGTGCATGACATGTACAATACCTAATGCGTGTGACCGCGCAGAAGTACGGGATCTGTATCAAGCTTTCTCCCCAGCGCCTTTCGTACAGTCCGCCGTCAATTATACGGTGTAGATCATAAGCATTTTGCAGTTTGCATTTTTTATTAAAAATATCTTCCTCTTTGACTTTACCTAGACAAAAATATGCCTCTTCTATCCGCGGTAGCTCACATGCATCTATCACTACGAGCACGGAGCATACTTGTATACCCGAGACGGGTTAAAACTACGGTTATAATGGGGAAAGACATATATCTAGAAGTAGGAAAATACGGGGTCTCGAGAAAGTATTAAGCTTTTTATAACTAAGTGGCTTTAAAATCATATATCTCAGATCGCGGATCGGCGTTGGTGTCGCTTGAAAGTTGAAATTTAGCAACAATAAACGTACTAAAATTTTTGGCATGTCTGTAGTTATGGCTAAAATTATGGCAAGTCTGAACGCTTGAAAGACGAGTGAAATTTCTGCGGAAAAAAAACCTGTATTTTACAATTTTATTACGATAAAAATACAAATGCTGCTCAGACCCGTGAAAAAATTGGGATATTTATGGTCAAGACGCGTTATCCGAAGAAAGGGTTTAAAGACGGTTCTGTTATGAGCTGCCGTTCCTACAACTTTGTAATTCCAAAAAAAGGTGAGAAATTATGGCGAAAGTTGAGCAAAACTGTTATGTGAGTAGTCACGATATCGCAAGGAACAAAACCTCCACCATCAAGGGGTTTCAAATCATTAAAAAACGAAACTAGCTACACAAAATACTCGATATTTAGGAGTTACACGAACCGATGCAAATTCTTTTGATACGCAAAACTCTATAGAAGCGCTATGAAATAGAGCCGTTTCAGAATCGGTTGTTCAGGGGGTGATCAAGTTGGTGGATCACTTACGAATGTAGTAGGCAAAAAAAAAAAGCTAAAAGATTTACAATATGTGGCAAACCGCAGGATATTGCCAAAAAAATGGTGTTGTATCTTTGCTAAGATTAGAAGCGTGTCTTGAGTTAGGTGTTTTGGACAAACTTGGAAACAAGCCTCTATTGTCAATTCTAACCAACGCGATTAGAACAAACCATTAAAAAATGGAACGAAGCTAGTTAACAGAAAAAAAATATGGTTTCCAGCATGACAACGCCCGAGCACGTGCATCCGTATTTGATAGAAATTTAAAGAACTTGCTCTACGGTGATAGGATTATCGCAAAAAAGGCGTAAGGCCAATGATCCAAGTAGCGCATATTTAGTTTAGTAACTTTTAAATTTTCAAAAAAAGTATATTTTCAAATTACAGAAACATATTTGCGTTAATTTTGGCTCTTAAACGGTCAGTACTATCCAATATTAAGCTTATAGATGAATATCTTTTGATTTTTATGTACTTTAAGAAGATGCATAAAGCGGACTGTGTAAGTATCGCATACAATGAAAAGCATTTTAAATAGAACGTCGATATGCTCTATAACTGAATAAAATACGAATTAGCTGGTTCCTAAGTACTAAAAATATCGATTTTCCTAATTGTGTGATTGATTAAGTTACATATAGACGTCTAAAGTAGCCGGCATGGCGAAGCGAATCCTTCGAAGCAAAAAAATTTACTTCGCTGTTTATCTTCGGCGGAAATTAATTAATGCACGCCGAAACAGCTCCGTCTGGAAGAAGACAGGGATAACAAGAAGGGTACTACTCTTCGACAGTGAAAGACGTTAACGAAGTGTATGACTCGTTCCATCAAAAATAGCTATGGTCGTAGCCCTATTGGATGGCTACTAATGATTAGAAGAACTGGTCGATAACCTTGATCGCTTTAGCTAACATGCTTTCCTGGCTGGTTTACTGTCTTAGTACATTTATTAAGGGGGTGGTTGCACGCTCTAAATGAATAAACGCAATCGTGGCGAGGCTTCGGACTCAAGAACACGATGCAGATTGAACGACCTCGAAGCTATACGCAGTCCGACCCCGCAGCGATATACTTAGCGCGGGTTCGCCAGATAATTAATGTTCTGCTCCATTGCATAATTAACGTTTCCATTATCTCGCGCGTTTTAAACTCGAGCTTTGCGACCGCCACGACGGTATATAGAAGACTTTACGTTCTAAGAGCGTGACGCAAAAGAGAATATATTTCCTAACAAAGTTTCCGTAGTGAAACATTTGCCAAATTTCGTACAAATATATATGTACAACTTGCGATTTTTTCGGTCTGTTGTTACAGACAAAATTTCTATAGGTGTATTATTTCAGACGCTTGACTAGAGCAGTCCCTGTAGGACTTTTCTATAATCAAAAGCAAGCAAGAAAGATTGACTCTGAGATTTCTGGAAGATTTTCCGCAGCAAAATTGAAATATTTAAATCGTCGAAATTGTCTGTTAGCTTTATGTTAATAGTAGGGCGTGGGCTTAAATGGAATTTACTAAAAATTATTAGCAATTATTTGTTTAGGGTAGCATTATGACAATCAATTATAATAATGATTTAACAATGCGCCGAAAGAAGCTCCTGTATTAACGTTATGAATTGTACTCTACAACTTGTGTCATATTTATATGAATTTTCACTTATTGTTGTTTTTTTTTTTTTATATTTACGTACTACGATGCCATCAATTAAATAAACCGTGTATGTTTCTTGTGATGACGGTCGACGGTCTCCTCCACAAAAGTTGTTTTCACAAAGAGACTATGTTATCATAGCAAAGGGCAAATAAGACTTTTCTTTTACCTTTTCAAGCTTGTCCCAGCCCGAAGAATGGAAGAGGGACTCTGCTCAAAGCATTTTTTTCAATTAGCGTTTTAGACAAGGAGACAGACGAAAATGTTAGTGATTTTTTTAGTAGCATTTTAATAGCTATGCATAAAGGCTCCGGTTAGGATTCTGCCGATTGCAGATGTGCTTATATGACTTTTTGTCCAATGTATCTTTATATATTATCCGCGCTCGCCGCCAGATCTGGAAGCTACAATCGGTCGACAATCTGTTTGTGGTCATGCATCGCGTGCATCATGCGAAATTCGTCGAGGACGAGGAGCGTGACCTCAACTACCTCTACGGTTTGGTGGCTAATCTGCCTTGGAAAAAAAGTAAGTTCTATCGCAATACAGACTTTTCTAAAAGAACTATAGTGATAACATGGGTAGAACCATCTTGAAAATTAGAGTAAACACCATGTCACGTTCGCTAAAAGCCTTTCATGTAAGCTACTTATTCGTATTTGTAAAACCATATATGTATGGGTATCACAGCAAGCCGATTATAAATAGATTTTTATACATGAATATTCTATATTGACATCCTAATTACCACGTACCTAGTTTTGTTAAAGACTGCTTCACTGAAACGGACGTATGGATTTCGTATAGCGAGAACATCTGACTCAACTTCTCCAATTTGTAATGGGTAAGAACATACGAAAGTAAACTCGTTAGTAACGGTTGTGCGATGGTTTGATCGGTAGGGGGCGCGGTAAGCTCAAATGAGATTGATATTGCAGTCATATACTATTTAACGTCTTATAAATAAGCTAGGGAAAACTAAAATGCATTCGTCTTCTTCCCACGGGTCCTGTGAAACGCTGTTCGCCACCCACGGGAAACTCTCATTCTGGGTGGTATACGATATATCTTCTGAAAGCTATTCCTTTTCCCATACCATACTATTCCTATTACCATAACTCCATTCCATGCTATTCCTTTTACCATAACTCTGATATGCAACGATAGTAGATCCGTCTTATCGCTGTTAAGAATATAAGGTTGGGAAAGGGTTTCACTAGTCCTTTATATATAAAAAAAGAAGATTTTGTGACGAACTTAACGACTTCGAGACGAAATAATATTGGTGTCTAATGTATGCGTATGCTATTTTTTTTTATCAACGATGTCGGCCCATATTGTCAACGGAATAAGATCTCCTATACAAAACCGATGAATATGCAGGACCGTTCACCGATACTTAAGTTGTTCTATTCCTAGTTTTCACCTATGTAGACTGAATTCAAATTTAGAGTGCCTGCTTCCTTCCGGAAAAATAGGATTTGAACGAATCGAATGTTATCAGTGTAGTGTCCAGACTGTACAACCCTTTAAGGAAGATTCTTCTATAACACCTACAAACAAGCCAATACGGAGCTGACTATTCTCTAGCTTTTCAGTGGCCCTTTGCCAATGTAGTGCCAACACAAGTTTCGTTAACCGAATTGTCTCGACTAGAGGAACTTAAATTTGTGCTTTATTACTTTAAACTATTACACATTATTTCAGGCGACTGGGTCAGAGACTAGCTAGCACTTTCAACACTTGCCTTCGTTCCTAAATAAAGAAATGATCTTCACATTATTAAATCTAACGTTGTCGATGAATTGATTGTACTAATAAACAGATAAGTAAGTGTCAAATAATGTTTCAATAATTAGCTAAACTGGTATGAAAACCCATTAAGGTTCTGAAAAGACCTAAATCGATGAAAGTGTGAATAGCCTATATGGCGAGTGGATTAAAATTTCGGAATCCAAGTTCTCTTGATTTTCGATGTAGCCAAAGATGTATGTCGTCCGGTATTGTCATAATAAAAGAGGAGTCCCCTTCTGTTTACCAATTCCGGTCGATTTTTCAGTGGTTCGTTGTAATCTAGCTAGTTGTTGGCAGTTGAGGATCGAACCATTTTTTCTGCACAGCCGGTAAAAACTTGTAGTGCTACCAGTCATACCAAACACACATCGCAACCTAGTTGGAGATCAGTCCATGCTTCGGCCCAGATTGTTTTGGAGCATGTTCTCGCTTTATCTCGCGATGGCCTTTCTCGCACATTATTATCGTCATCCCGTCATCCGCCGCTTTGAAAAGGATTGATCTATTTGCGTTTCTGTAGAACTTTGCAGGTAGAAGAGCAATCGGGTAAACTGTTTTGCACTAGTTCGCGTTACAGCCAAATATCGTGCTTTATATAGCTACCTTTAGTCATTTGGTTTAAAATTGTTTGGCGGTAGATGTCAAGTTCCTTGGCGATGTCATGGCTACTCACGTATCGCTCTAGTTCAACTTGATTTCTTTAACTCGTAGTCGGTAACCACTGTCAGGAGCATCTTTCACATTAAAATTTCAAGAACGAAAACTCACAGTAGAACCATCTTGGGGCCGTTCCTACCGACAACGCACCTTAACCATAAACAGCCCACTTTTTATGGGTTTGTGTCGCATTTATGCTTTAACTGGAGTGAAATTATAGAATATAGCGAATTTTTTAAGGTTTTTTTTTTACATATTTACGACTCTTATCTAAAGGCTGAATAAAGGTCTTCCAAACGTTTTAGTACATCTGGTACGGTTAACTCTGAGCTTTCGAGCGGCAGCAAGGCCGACACGATACGGCTTCTAAGATTCCGATATTAGCTGAAATATAGCTGGAAAGAACTGTAAGCACTTTTTCGGCCACCCAATGCGTCGAAAAAAGCAACGATTGCGAAAGGTTGATTCTACTCATCGGTAATACTCCAAGGGTTATAGAACTGCTCCGCTGAATCGAAGTCATAGCATAGCTACGGCGTGTCTTCTACCATAGAATCTTCCACAGTTGAGAGTATAACCTTGCAGCAATCTGATTCTGCATTTTTAGAAGGGAATTCCTAGCGAAACACAGCTTGTGCCCTTATATTTAAAAATCATTTCTATTTTGTTCTTTATCATGCTAAAGGCATACTTCGATGTCCTCTAGGTAGCCTGTTGATGTTGCTTTTACGATAAACATCAGTGTTTGGATTTAGCGTCCAATACTCAAGGCGCTAGGAAGTGCGAACCCAGACTAGCGATTGCCCGTAAACTGAATAGCAACCATGTTATTACTGCATCATCACACATGTACAATTCCGAAGCTAACTTCGACCAAGTATGAACTCTGACTTATTTGGGCTACGAGCTAAACTCTTACCCTCAACCATGGTGAAACATCTGTAGCATTTATGATGTAAATGCTTACAAAATAATTCAAATGCACTATGGACACCCATTGTGCCCTACACTGATCGGGAAATGTCTGTTGTCAGATAAATACTGATCAAAAAATTATATATATATATATATCCATTAAACTATGTCAAAAATACAAGTACAATCTACTTGGTAAAAGACTGTGGAGGCAAAAGCCCGTGTCATCCCTCTCTCAAGAGTCAGAAAAGCAAATTATATATATGTATACGTATGTGATAAATATCTTTTTTGGATTGTAGGTGGGTGATAAATCGAAGTTTTAATAGGTCCGTCCTGAAACGACTGATAGTTCTGTCTAGATATAATAAGAATGGGACAAGAGTGGAATTGACGATGGATTTATGCGGTAAACTATTTTTCATCAATGCAAACCCCAAGTTGATTCGCCTTAGTAGAATTATCAAAGGCTGCCTGGATATACTCCAAATTGTCGAATCCGCTACAGCAGCATAGCTAGCTATGGAACCTGTGACATTTATAAAAGAGGCTGGTACCTTTATTATAACTGCCGTCGTTAGGAAAGCCATTAATTTCGTCAATACTAAATAAACACGTACACTAGTGAGTCTATGTTAAGTTACAAGTTTATCGCTTAAATATGTCTTTACTTAGACCCTACCTAGGTTGCGCAGCACCATATTAAGCGAGCACAAGAAGCTTCGTGAAGAACTATATCATATTCTTCGCGTAAAGCTAAAACGCATCTACGCTGTAATGATTAGTAAATATTTATCCATTGACACGGCTACGGTAAAGGAACATGCTAATGTTATTAATCATCCCTTATACGGCCCTTGTATGTGAGTAGAAGAGTTAGGATAGCGTTTACACTGTTCGTATTTGTTTGAGTGAACTACCTTACAGTCAATGACAGTTAACGGTCATTTCCATTGTTGATTTTCATATTTTATAGATATCGAAGTATGGAGGAGGGTACGCGCCCCTGAGCAAAATTTAGATCGCATATTTGCGTTCGAAGGTCAGCCTCCAGGGCAAGTATGTTTTGTCTGCAATGACCCTACACACATCATTTCATAATCGCATGTTTACCAAAACAGACATATACATAAATAAAAAAGTAAATTCTCTCTACGCTTTTAGTTTTACATGCTACTAAATTTTTTTCAATGTAAAACGCTCTGGTTCATTCAGAGCGATTTAGCAGGTCGAAGGAACTTGGTAATCTATTATTCGCATGCAGGAGCATGAGAAATTTAGTAACTATATATGCCCAGATGTTTGGCTAGCTACACTCTGAATGCCACCAGGAAATATTAAATTGAAGGCAAAAATGTCATTCGGTTTCGAAAATGAAGGCACTGGTGGATTTTATCGCAATTCATTGAAAACACTAGGCGAAAGAGGTTCTTAGTACAAATACAATACCGGTGCACACTAAAAACAGAATTTAGCAGGTTGAAAATCACTGAAAAGTAGCTACATCTTCAGACCTAAAATGGAAAATTTACCTGCTCTGATCAACGAACATTTTGAGCGGAATACAGCGTAGAAAGCGCACTTTTTGTGAATTCGTTACGAAACTCCTGAAAGTACATGTATTAAAGTTATAACGAAAACATTGAAGATAAAGAAAAGTTAAGAACTCAATTTCCACGAACTAAATAAAAACAAAATAGCCGTGATTAGTATTCAAGTGCACCGCCGGAAAGCACAAAAACACGAAACCCTCTGACGGTGGTTGCACAATAAAGCAATAGCAACTAATCGTTACTCCACTCCATACCTAAATAGATAACGGTAATTTATTAAACATGTTTCACATTCTAGACAGGATTTACGAAACTATTATATTTTTAGTAAAAAAGAAAACGCTTAGGGCACACTTTTGCGATAGACGAATTTCGACATCACAGCAACTGGTACTTCCATTGTAGGTCCTGAGTTGTAGTCACCATCTCGGTAGTGTAGAAAAACAGACACTTATCATTTAGCGTTGATTTCCAGCTCTAAACGACACTCTGCTTTTGAAATTATTATTCTTTAAAAACTTTTAATCCACGGATCACTATCGGCTTTTGCTCCTTGTATATTGAATCACGATCTGAACGCTGCGGCATTATCACAGAAGTTATCCAGAAGACTGCTTACGCCATAGACGTGTGGTTTATAATAATCATTACGGCTCTCGATACTGGAACGCAAGCGTTGTGTCGTGCATGAGAGCCGACACCCTCTGCACGATATTACGATCATTAGCATTATCGTACCAAGTAACATGAAAAACCAGCAAACATTTTTTCTTGAAAAATTGCTTTGGCGCTTAGCACGGATTGAGTTCGTACCTATATTATGCCTATGCAGTTTACAGACCATGCTACCGACTAATCCATTCCATTCGTAATTCTCATTATCCTCCAATGACACTCAATCAGCTCATAGTCGCAAAAAACTAAAGAGGATGTATTTATCTAGTTTGTCCACTAACGGTGGACAGTTTTAACGTAACTGTGTTGTTGGACCCCATAAATAAAGCCAGATAATAATTTAGCAGTAATGCTTGTACGTCGTACTTTCATGCATAATTTAAGAGCGTGACTGGATTCGTCGTTCCTGATAACTTGGTAACTCCACAACGTTTCCATGTTTTATTGACGCAGTTAATATGCGCTTATCTAAGACCCTTATCTCTGTTAAAGAAAACCACCATCTGGAAAAAACATTATTAGAGGTCTAATGTAATAGATGGTAAGAGTGTAGAGCGACATAAGAGTGTAGTTACCTAACTTTGATGCATAAAGGATCAGGCGCCATTAGCTAATATTACCACGTCAGCTTTACGTTTCATTTACAGATGCGGTTAAGCGTCTGTTTGATATTTATGCATTTCACTGTTCTGCCGAGTTCTGTCACTTAAATAAATAATTACTATTCTAGCTTGTTTGACATTAGGGAGCTTCCGGATGCGACCTCGAGGGTCTTCCGCGCTTTCGTGTCACGTGTAACCGTACAGGACCGAATCACAAATTCACTTCGATGCAAACAGCCGCTAAAGTTGGAGCAGCTATTAATGATGCCTTTCGCTGGAAGGTAACGTAATTATCCGAAATGGTAACAGTAGGTCTGACCATGTAAAATGAATTGGAGAAAGATAGCCTTTTTATAGGACAAGGGTAGCATACCAATTGATCTTGTGCGGGAAGTTTGTTTTTTAAGCGTTCTAAGCCATAGCACTCAAATACAAAAGACAACATAACCGCGAATCTTTTTTGGATCTTCTATGATATAATGTGTAATATGCTGATAATATATTAGAAGGTACTTTGAGTAAAATGTCACAACGATGTCTTCCATACAATAACAAATCTTACAATACATTGTTTACACGGAGTGCAATTTTTTTCATTCCAAAATCTGTTTTGGTTACGTCGTAATTTTTCTAATCTGTCAAAAAGTGCTGCTCCGACGTATGGCATGAAAAGGCATTGAAAATAAATGAAAAGAGACTGTTGCGACGACGATGTGAGTAGGGCTCAGGACTTGCATTAATACGGTTTCGAGGCCAATCCCTCAACCGATACTTAGTGATTTTTTTCAATACTTCATAATATCATTTGCTTTTATGGCCTTATCTTTGGTCAGCGTGAATATCACTGCACGATCTACTCAAAATATATTTGAAAATAATTTCTACCGTTCTAGAGACATTGGGTGGTACGAGTTCTAAAATATTTCATCACTTACAAAAAAACGCCAGGTTGATACATCCTAGCCATGCAAATTATCCATCTCTGTGAAATGTATTTACCTATCAGAAAATTACGTAGCGAGACGTTGTACTCAATATCACCACTACAGCCCGCTTGCTTGCGTATTGTCACATTATTTTTGTAATTTGCTTCAGATTATTAGGAACGAAGGCTCCTTTGCGAATAAAATGGGTGCTGTTGTTATTTGCGTTCAATATACAGCACGGCTGCAGCTAGTAACAGTGGCTGGGACAATTGTCAATCATTTATGTCGGTGGCTTCTCAGATTCGCTTTTTGTTGTTTTCGAATTGTTCCGTTAACCTCGCCTTTCAGTCTTCAAGCAGAGGCATTGAGAATGGCCGGACGCATAGTCCTTAACTCCTCAAGTGCTCACTTTCAATTTCTTGATCATACATCCGCGTTTCACACAACTACCTTTAAGTTTCGTTCCATTTACCGAGCTTTGTTCTGAAAATCGAACTCTACTGTCGGACTTTTATGGGTGGGTGGAAGAGCTTCCCTTTCACAGAAGCTCGCCGGATTTTTCGGCAACTTTTTCGCTTGTTTCGTTTTTGTAAATGTCACAATACTATGAGGAAACGGCTTTTCAATATAACATACAACTTGTCTAGTGTAAATCATGTACTGAGCCGCATAGGTCGAATAAACGGTGTACTTGCATTTACAAATAATAGTAAACAATGATTGTTAATTGAAGAATAATTTCGCCAGCAGCTATCTGAACAAATAATGGCATAAAAGTAAAAAAAAAAAAAAATATGAATTAGAGTTCTCTAACTTGAGCTTTGTTATTTGTACGTCTCAAAACGTTAAGTAAGGTGAACACAAACACGTAATTAATATGCTAAGGCGTTGTGAGAGAATATTTTACTAACTGTTTATAGCAGCCAGTAATCTAGTCAAGGGAATTAAAGAGAAATCAAAAAAATTTTAAATTGTACTCTGTTTTATATGCCTAATTCATTACAGAACTGTCCCAAGCGCTTTGGCCGAAACTGCAATATGCATTTGTTCTCCGATATCATTATTCAGTAAATCTTCCTTTTAAAGTAAATGATACCTACATACTTTTAGCTAACTGTCTTCGATAAAAAGCGTTGGACGCGAGGCACCTGTTAGCGGCTTCACGACAGACTCGCGTACATCTAAAGTCGGTCAAATGGCTGCGTCAACACAGATGTTTTTGTTGTCTGATCCTGCAAGCATACATCATTGTGTTCCTTCGGCAACTTCTGGAACTTTCGTAATCACAAAGTGAACCTGAGACCCATATCCTTTTTGCATGATGGATGCAAATGGACTCAGCGAACTTGAATCACGTTCATGATTCTTTTTGTATTCGAATTTGCAATTACGTAACTGCAATAGCCGGTCGAGATCGTTTCAAACGATAGCTAAGTCGCTTGTCTCTTTATTTGTAATTACCGATGTTAACTTTGTCACTCGAAGTTGTATTTAGTCAAATGGAGCTAAGTGTAGCAATATCACCTGCCGTGTCAAATTTGCCTTTAGAAATGCAACGAAAATGGCGAGAAAAGGAGAACATTACCCTGTTTATCCACTCCTGTTATCTTCGCCTGAGCATAAAGAGCTGAGTAATTGTTTTTCCATTCACTGCACGCCGCGAACTAAAATTGTCGTATAGGGACTTAGTTTTTCTTCGGCTGATCTTGCGAAACGAGAGTTCTATAGGCGAACATCACGAATAACGGTTTTGCTGGGAAAATTTTGTGACGAAAAATGGCAAGCATAACTGACGCCAGCAAGTCAATATAAGTGGAAAAGAACGTTTTCAAAGCAATACAAAAATCAGTCACTTCCATTGATTCGAGATCATGTAGGAAGGCATGTAAACATTCTGCTTTCGTATACTTTAACCTAAGCCAACGTCGGCGATAGCTGCTGGCAACGAACACGCGTGAGATTTCTAGCATGCATTTTGCACGACACATGTCCTGCTCCGTTAAACAACTACGGCATTTCACCAAATATATTCTCGATGTGAAGAGATTACAGAATGGTGCTTGCTAGAACCTGGGAACAACTTCACTTTAAATTTCTTGCTGTACCTAAATTTTTCAATTTACCATCGAAGTCGCATGAATTCCAACGGCGACAAGTTTCGCTGACGCCTGCGCTATTACAGGTTTGTGTCGCGCATAGTGTAGTGTCACACTGCGTGCGAACTCATAAAACTCTGGTTTGTCAGATCACCTGCCGTCAATCAGGTCCAATCAAGATCGTAAAAAAATGGCCATTGCAACCGGAATGGATTGCACTGCTCAAAAAGCAATGTCTCTTCTTTGTTTTAAATTTCACTTTGTGCACTTTGTACTCGCATAAGCCATTTTTGTAATGACGAAAAACGTTATCCTTGTGCATTTTCGGCTTTTCTCGGTAGCTCGCAGAAACTATCATTGTCTACGCGCTGTCCCCTGAATACTAAGCATTTCGTTTTCTTATTAGGATAAAATTATTCTAGATATTTTTATACGAAACCGTACATTTTCGCAAGTTGTCCCGTGTCCAGGGGCCAAATTTTGAGTAATCCTTGATCACGTTCTCGAGACAACCATATAGATTTTACACACGGTAGACAAAACAACAGTTTTACTTACTAAAGTCGCATATTAATGATATGCTTCTCCGGGTCAGAATGCGTTCCAACGTAACGTTGAAAATGAACGAAATATAGACGCTAAAAAACTACACTTACATACAAAAATTTGGATGCATGCACACTTTAGTTTCACATAACGAAAATGTGTGTTCTTTGTTCGACTTTGCATATGTACTTCATTTTTTTATAGGTGGATATGAAGAATTTCAATCTTCACATTATTGTAAACATCTGCTCAAAAAAGGTAGACTTTCTGATCGGCCTAACCGCAACATCTCTACATCACCGCAATCTGATTGATTTTGGACCAACGTCACTGCGATCTACAATCGCTTACAATATGTTACGGTAACCATTTTCTGAGTATATTGTAAACACTACGCAACAAGCGTCGTTCTAACCTCACCATAAGTTTCCGTTTTTATATAGACTACTACAGTTTGACCATTGCGCGATATTTTTCGGATATCAGATTAAATCGTCCCCCTGAAATGATGATTAAGATGCGTGACAATTCCATATGTTGTTTTTATACTCTGTTATCTACTGTTTGTTATTTCCCCTTACATTCTCGCAGACTGTGTCGGATTCGCCCCAGTGAAATAATTTGTGATCCTTTATGCGGAGGTGGCTCAATTCCGATTGAAGCCGTTCGGAATTTCCAGCGGAACTTCGTAATAGCAGCTGATCACCACGAGCTCGCAATTCCACGGTGCTATAAAAATTTTTTGCACAATAAGCCCGTCACGAATAGGGTAAGCATATAGTTAGTATAGGAGCGTTTTTCTGAGAGATTTATAAATCATAAACATGTCACTTGTTCTTTCCGATACGAAGCCACTCGTTCTAACTTTTGATATTCTAGTGAGGACATATGAAGGTATCTTGAAAAAAATGGTGTAATTAGCATCCTGGGGGATGGGTAATCATTCTAAGAGGCGCCACTAATTCGATAACTTAACATTAGTAACCACTCAAACTTTTTGGGAGATGATTCTAAGTTTCTTCCAACTGTTAGACTGATTTATAGTGCCTGCGCACGTAAACTGAGTAAATAATCTTTCTTTTTAATTTTTTTTACTTCCCGCAGGCAGAATTGTTAACTTGGGACAGTACTCGAACGCCGCTACGTTCAAAATCCATCGACGTTTTAGTGACAGATTTACCTTTCGGAAAGCGCTTAGGCCGCAAAGGCGATAATCGAATCTTTTACCCGGCATTATTAAGAGAATTTGCCCGAATTTCGTTAGCAGGAAAATCACGAGCAATCTTGCTTACGCAGGACAAAAGATCTCTTATCAAGGTTGGAGAAACACGTCTGCATCAATGCAGACCAATGGTTAAACTAAGAAAGCTAAAATAACTTTAATTTTCTATAGTTTGAACGTACATGTTTTTCTTCAGTAAGAAATACATACCTATTTTTAGCTATCTCTAAATGGAAGTACGTTTTGGAATCGCTTTTAACAGAAATCAGTAACAGAATTTTATTTTTTTTTTCGATTGTACTCTTTGAGCTGAATGTCGCTATCTTATTTTTCTTCTAGGCTTTACAAACTACGTCCCGCTGGTGGCGTCAAGCTTATACGATCGGTTGTAATGTGGGAGGACTTGAAGCCGCCATCTTCGTATGCTACCGCACTAGCGCTGAATATTACGAAATATGAAACACGGGTACAACACTGAAACTTACTTCCGTAATAGTACTATGTACAAACTTTGATTCTTAAGGTGTACTGATTGACTGACATCGATTCCGAAGCCACACCGTAAGACACAAAGTACGAGAAAGGGGTTGTAGTAAATCAATCTGTTAAAGAAGGTGCTTCGTAGAACAGTTCTTTTTTAAAATTTCCGGCAACACATAGCTTGGTGAAAAATATGTCATTCCTGTTACTATACATTATAATACTTCTTTGCTGTTTTCTTTATACTGATATGCAGAAGGACAGACGCCAGAAGATTATCGAGACTAGCTCAGAGCTGTGCTGCAAACAGTTTCATCTTGCATTTATTCCTTAGTAGCAATAGTCGTATTATAAAAGAAAAAAACACTGGATAAACATTTGTGACATAAAAAAAACGCCATCGTAAGGACCTAGGTATGCCTACAGTAATGTGAACGTGTGAAACTTGTGAAAGCCTACTTGCGGCAAAATGAGACGCAATATAAACAGATTTGAGAAAAGTTGCTCAATACACAAACGAATGTTTTGTTGTCGAATACAACAGTAATAGCACGTGTATAGAATATAAATGAAAGGACGTGTTTGCTTTAATAGCCTTAATAAGTTTGCAGACCAACAAGAAGCTTACCGATCGTTATTCCTGTAAGGTCAGAATTCTATACGGCACAAAAACACGCTTTTAATTAACTGACTTTCATTATTTCTGTTTTCAATCGCAATGCAATCTTACATCAACCAAGTATGATAGGTGCTTTTTTTTTCAATGTCAACAACATAACAGATTATCAATAGTAACATTGTGTTTATAAGTGAGTTTAAGCGTCGTCTTCGATTAACCTTGTTTTCGTTTAATTCGTACAAACTTGGCAGAGTTCACGGAGACTTTTCTGTTAAGAACGTACTTACATTTCGGATGCGGGACATCGAGAGAGCAAGTTTGTGTCCCAGCTAAAAGAAGAACATACACACAAATTATTTGTGCTGAACAGTAAATGCCGTTTGCTACATATATTGCACTTAAGAGTGGACAGCAAGATTTGCCATAGTGATTTCGATGTTACTGTCCAACGCCCACTAAAAAAGTACAAACTCTACATTCTCATTCAATAAAAAACACAAACATCTCATCCGCCACACGCTCAAAGGAATAATAAATGGTATCATGATGTAAGTTTCAATCAATAAATAATAATAATAAATATTTATGCAAAGTAAATAGTGCACACTCTGCAATACTATTTTCTTTATACCAACACTTTTTGCGTTGCGTGTTTGTAGCACCCAAATTTAACTGCATTTGATTTTTGGCACTGCAATCGATTAATATGATAAGTTCTAGGCAGACATCTGCGCAAAACTTTCACCAGTTTTTCATTTTTTAGGTATACTATCATAGTGCTGTTTTAAATATTAGTGGAATATGGCACGGATCATAGCAGTTAGGCCAATACCTTAACAGCCTGGTATGTTATAAAGAGTTGTCTACAGCTTTCGTGTCCATAGGAGTAGGAGACAGAGGAATCACTGCCCATTTTGTATACGGTCGTCTGCGTATATAGGCGTGTTTGGATTACATCAGTCAGGAGGACGACGAAGAACATAGAAAAAAATAAGTCAAACTCATTTATTACTAATTCTACGCCATTCCGGTAATTCAAGTGCCAAAGGGCCGCCTTTCTCGACAAACGTACACGGAATAACAACAATAAGCTAATTGTACTACGTTGTCTCGTTTATTAATATATGTATATATATATTAATCTGAAAATGGCTTAAAATGAAAAAAAAAACGAAACTGAAGATAAAACATTTTGACGAATCTAATATTAGCCATCATTGAAACGAGACAACGTAGTACAATTAGCTTATTGTTGTTATTCCGTGTACGTTTGTCGAGAAAGGCGGCCCTTTGGCACTTGAATTACCGGGATGGCGTAGAATTAGTAATAAATGAGTTTGACTTATTTTTTATATATATATATATAACCTCATAAATTTGCACAAGAGCTCTGCAAATCAATCGGTAAGAGGTGTTATACCTCGGATACCTTAGAAATATCTCAGAGAACCGAATTTACGAAAAGCGATGACCATCATCATGCGATTCACCCTCAAATATTATCTGGTGGTCATAAGCTAGAAGGAAGGTATTGCAATCTAAAAACTGATATACAATTACACGAAAAATGCCTTAATCAATACCTTTTTCGTCTGCAAAAATAATAACGTTTCAAATTCATCAATGGGTTATAATTGCATTGTTTAAGATACAATAAGCAATTTATTTACATTAGCTTAATTTGTAAATGTTATACGAAAACTCTATAGCATATGCAAGACGCCACATTATATTGGTAAATACATTTGCAACACAGATTAATCTCATTTATTTCCACACAAATTTAAATGAGCCGTTTTCGAATCAGATATCAACAATCACAAAGCCAGACGCTCTAGTCGTCCGCTAATTTAATAATTTCGTCTGTTCTGTAAGCCATAGTTTTAGCCTACAGCACCCTAATCAGTTTTGAAGTATAGGGTTTCTGTGATGACGAGGCCACGGGCGTGTTTTGAGTATAATTTCGAAAGGCTTGAACGAGTACCTAGAAATAAAATCAGGTCAGAATAGGTCGTGACTGAGTTGAGCTATAGCAGATACAAAACTACGAAGAACATCAATACAGCCACGAAATATAGCCCATGATCTCCACAACAAAACCCGTACATGCTTTCCGCGGCGACTTTTCACTAGCAACCGATTACACAAAAGTTTTGCCGATTTAATCCATCAGATTTCGTTTACCTAGCTTCCTCTTTCATAGCAAAAATGTGCGTATGATACAAATAACCACTCGATAAGGTTGTCAATGTATTCGCAGATGTTTGAAATGAAAGTTTTATTTCCTATACGAAAGAGGCTGCCTGTCGCGCGTTTGTTTCATCATTATATTCCACACTTTGTCACTTTGGTGAGCTTCTTCCTTCCCACCTTTTCTTCGTTCTAAATATTACCATATGATTTCATATATATATATGTATATATATATATGTATAGCACATAATATACAACTTTCCATCGTTCACCTTCCACGTGCTTCTTCTTATACAATAGAGCGCTCTCATTACGATCCCACCATTATGTATGCTATCGCTCCTCAAAAAGTTCTTGCTATTTTTCTGTGTTGTTATGCTTCTTGTTATTTATCTTTCAATCCGATCCATTTTATGCACTATGATTTATATACGTTCATACCAATATTTCCTTAGGCAGACCGGAAAAGGAATTACACTCTATTCTATACCATAGTTCATACACTCACGGGTGGACTCACATTTAGACAAAATAAACATAGTCGGTGTGTCAATGTTGTGAGCAATAGCGGCACGATAAGACGTGATTAATTAACGGCTACAAGGATGGCCATCTAAAATCACAAGATTTAGTTCTCCGCACCGGCAATCTCAACTCTTCATAAGAGCAAGAGAAGAGCCGAGCAAAAATCCGTTAATCATGACCCCAAACATCATAAAAACCTAAGAGCTGTTGAAGGAAATAATGAATCACGGTCTTGGCCAACTCCACAAAACAGGCAATGTCTATTTCTTCGCTATTCTCTTTTTCATTTCTGGGCGGGTATTGTATAGAAGAACCTATTCACATATGTCTGCCCACGCTCACGTGCGATGTCAGGCATTCGTTTGGCTAAAATCTTTGATATTCATAATATTGTATCAGTGTCGTATAATGCGGTGGACTTTTTTTTCATGAAATCTTCCTTTACGCACAATGTTTGCAATTTGAATTTTCTGTAGGTTTAAGTATGGCGGCCGTGGCCTACGCATGGCATCAGTACTCTTGAATGAGTTGTTTTCATGAAGATGGTTGAAAGCTACTACTACTAAAGCACGTCGAATTAAGCGCTATCGTCAAGCTACGAATGCATACGTAAATTGTAACCAGCCGTCATTGTAAAAAAAGGAGCCTATAAAACAGACCGAGAAGAAGACTATTGAAAGCATTCGTTTTAAATCTGACGAAGCAAGTTAATAAAAAACAGTGCCAATTTTAATACGGCAAGAACTACAGAAACTTAAGCTTGTACATCGCCACCATTGCGCAAGCATATGTTTCAGATATCATTTCAATAAAGCATTGTCAAATTTTACCTTGTAAATCTTTCAATTACATTCTTTTTTTTTGAAAGCCATCTAAGGACCATTTAAAAATAATTACTGTATAAACGAAAATGAGCGAAATGTCCAGCGACAATATCAGGCGCTTCGACAGAAAATAACTGTACACACACATGCAAATATGAGACATCAAGAAAGTTCAGATGTTATATTTTGCTCTATTGTACGCAAACTAACTAGCAGAAGTATGCTCTTCAAACTCCACGTTCCGTGACCAACTAATAGTCCTGAAGTAGACATAGCATAGCACAGGTGTTCATGTTCATTTTCCTTCTGCGTCTAAGCGTCTCGTCATTGCTATCGTACCACGCATGTATATATTCAATTTTTTTTATGCTGTGGGCGTAGGATAGTAGCAGTTGATATCAACGACGTGTTAAAAAAAAAAACTAATAAATAAACTTCTTCAACAATCGTTACTGTGACTTTTGTTGAATACCTTAGCCCACGCAGCGAAATACGGAAAGATCAAATTCTCGTTGCTTTTACGATAATCAGTCATTCCTATGAATTATCCCCCGAATCTCATCTCGACAAGCCGCGAATCTCCAGCGGTAGCCGAACAAATTGCTGGAAGCCGACAATGCCAGTTTATCGAAGGCCAGTAGACGCTACGAATGGGTGAATATATCGATAAATAATTTAATGACTGGTGTTGTTCATGAATAAAATAGGACAATGATAGGATCTAAAGTTCCTTCACTTCTCTTCGGTATATCTTGCTCAATACTCAGCAATCTCCCATTACTTTCAGTTTATCTTTCTACCTGCTTTGCGTATGAGAGATACAGAAAGATAACGAATGTTAAATTACTATACTAGATTGATTTATGATTTGTTTCAACGATGATTTTTGCGGGAATTGCGCGAACCAACTGGCTGAATAAGCGCTGAGTAAACAACCTATTTTTTTTAGTGTTGCTTCTAGTGGATTGCGTCCGTTATTTTTGGACAACTGTTTGCTACTATTTTTCTGTGTCGCACAAATTTTTGACGAATTTCTTCGAACTAGCTAACTAGGTGACCGGTTGCTGAGAAGGCGTTGGTATCGGCTGGGTCGGTGAAGGCACTGCCGGAGTGTTTGGAATTGTATTGTTATTGGCAGAGGCCGAGCTGGCACCAACGTTGCCAGCTGTCACAGCTACTCCTGCTTCTGTCTTGCCACCAGCAACAACCATTTTGCCTTCCCCCGGCGATGAGGATCGAGAGACGAGGGCCTCCTGCTCGTCGAGGAACTTGTCCATGTAATCTCTGTATAAAATTGGTAAACAGCAATCAAACTGGATTTATTAAAGTTTGTTAGAATCTGTTTCTTGCGAAATCTGGAAAACGCAGACGACATACAGCGGTAACTTGGTGTATTAAGAACACACATGCATAAGGATTAGAGGCATCTTTCAACATAATAGTGGTATGATGGAGTTACGGTAACTTATAGATCAACTTTATGTTGATTAGTTTTAGCAAAAAATGAAGATTCTAACAATTCGAGGAAGCTGCGACAACGAGCATCGATACGATCAGGGATACACAACAAGGTTATTCAGGACCAAATGATGTAGTCTACGGTCCCTTTGCTGTGTACGAAATAATGCGAATCAGTTAGGAAACCACACAGTTTTCTTTTTTTCTTGCGTCTATACTCACGTCGTGCCTGGATGTAATGCATATTTCTTTTTTTCGAGTCTCGTTCGAGATGTGAACACATCATGTCGTTCAGTCTTTTTCCATAGATAATAGAAGTTGACGAGCTCTTTAATTGATCTAGTCGAGATCTTGTTTGCTCGGATGGCAACAAAGTCTTTGCCGTGTAATCGTAAGCCAGCTTCAAAGGCCCTGCACTCTTCTTCGCTCCAGGGCGTCATTTCTGCATCTCCGTTTGCAAATCCACCACCAGCACCACCCTGAGCTCCGGCTAGCTTTTGCCGCCGCAAGGCTTCATCAACGGAAAACCCGCACTGGCGAAGTAGCCACAAAGCTCGCTCGTCGTCGCGAACATGTCCACCCATTGGTAGCGTTTCGGGATCGCCCCCATTCATTCCACCATTGTTCGCTGAAGAGTTCCTAAACATTTTCATTTTGTCAAGCCAAAAAAATTCTTTAATATGGTCAAACGTAAGAGTAGATTGTAATAATTTGATCGAGCGTAGTACCATAGTGAAGTAACATTTAAAGAAGGATTGTAATTGAATTCTATAATTGGATATTGCTAATACCAGAGTCTGCAGGTTATTACAATAGGCAGGGACGGTTTACCACTTGTCGTAGAAGTCAACTATTGTTTGGTCATCGAGTTTCCCAGGTTCCCATTGTATTGTATCTTCATTCTCATATGGGAGCGTATCGTCATATGAAGCTAGTGATTCTGGGATGTCTGCTTGATAACTTGAGCCCACCTATCACAAATCACATAAACAAACAGTTAGTGAAGTAATTCTAAAAACAAATTATGTTTATGCATTTTGTCATACATAGGTAACGGTAACAATTTAATTTTATTTTGCGCGTTTAAATTGTCTGGGTTAAAAAGAAGTATCTCTATAAGATAACATTCGTAAGCGAATGCGACAGTAATTAAGTTGAAAGAAACCTATTGAAAGAATCGGATTGTATTCTTCTGTTTTCAGCGCACTTTACCTGGATAGTTTTCCGCCAATATTGTTCCCTATGAAATTCTTCATCTTCCTCGTCGTCCGTCGTCTCACGCGAGCCAGCTCTGAAATTAATTACGCAAGAAATACAAATTATGTATACATGCTTTAATTTCCTTAGGTTTCAATAACTGTAATATACAATTTCCTTCAGATTCCACAAAATAAAGCGTCTCTTAAAAACTTCTGTCTTAGACATTGTAAGTACCACTTATTAGTAGAGCTAATAGTTAAGGATATTTGAGACAACTCTGGTATAGAACAGTTTCATTAGAGAGGCTTAAAATCGATTGATTTGGTATAGCTATCCTCTTTATCGAAATTTTATAATCTATTGATTTCTGTAATAAACTAATAGTATCCTAACTAAACGTTTGCATCTCGAAATAACACAGGAAACATTTGACTCATATAATCGACTGATAGCGCCTTCTATAGATTAACAATAAGATTTAATGAAAACATCTAATACAAAGATGTAATTTAACAGTTACCTGAGCAGTTGGGCCGTCCGCGAAGCCCTTGTCAGCAATTTATGTGTCCCAGACGCGTCTTTCTTATCTTTCACCAAAGGATCCTTCAGTCCTTCTTTGGAATCCTTCTCCAGCCCTCCGCCGATACCATCGGCATGATCTTTAGATGTATCTTTGGATTCACCATCAACATCCGCCTCATCGTTATCCGTTTCTTCCCCCGAAGAGGAGACGTCTGCACTTCCCATAATACCTTAAATTTTAATATTACATTTAAGATGAAGCACCCGATTTTACAAACGTGATATTACTTATAAATGAAGTTTAAAAAAATCCCATCGATCAAAATTTGCCTAACCGGCTTTTCTCAATATGTATTCTCATTTTAACATTTCCACAATAACATAACAAAAGAATTTCAGCTTTCTCTAAATTATTATTGAAAATTATATTATTATTAAGAAATTCGAACATAGTTATAACAAGATAATATACTAAATGAGTACACTATTGATATATATATTCTGACCATCTGCTTGAGCTGCTACCACAGGATGTTGCAGCGGCACTTGGTCTCCGCGGTATCCAAACATCTCCTTCAATTTGTCGATCGGCATATCCTGTTCATTGCGAAGAAGTTCTAGTTCGTCCTCGTCTTCACCGCCTTCCATTTCCAGTGCCTCCTCTTCGGCCATCGTCCTTTCATCATCGAAATCATCGACCATCATCTCCGCTGTTGGCTCAAAATCGCCATCGCTGTCATTGCCTTTTTAGCGGGATAAATGAGACATAGTGGCACTGAATGGATTTAAGCGAATCAATTACGGCTTGCAAGAAATAATAGGGTGAAACAGTCTAATATAACATGGTTCACTTGCCAATTTAGCAAGGTAACAAGACAGGTACAAGCCATTTGTCTGGCCACCAGTTTGTAGAATACAAAAACATAACTAAAATAATGTGCTGCATAGAGTAAACTGAACCCGAAAGTGAGACTTGTCTCAACTCAAACGAAATTGACGTGGTCGACGTTAATCTCACGGTTTGATCCAACGCCACTGTATATTTGTTGTAAAAAAGACGACTCGTTATAACAATGATCGTCCAGTGTGATTTTGACTCTAACACACTTAATATTGCCTTCTATGCTATATTTTCTGAGCTTGTGTTATCTTGTCACCTCAATTTACAGTCTCCAATTGCTAATAGCCTGAACTGTCTGCTTAAATACTCGATAGAATGCAAGACCATAACTGCATTTATGGATGAGAATGCACAAAACATTTTTAAAATCGTACGTCCGTTGCTTATACGCCCACGAAATAAGTGACTAAGGAAAAGGACGTTGAATTTTCGAAGAAATTAGTAGCGAACATACAATAATAACAATAACGCCATGCGACTATTTAATTTAGCCAACAAAAAGTCTAAGCAATTGCCTATGACCATGCAGCAGTCTAAATGTCTTTACAAGAATCAATCAATTTATGTCATACACTATCAGGCCAGTACAGTTAATTAACGACACTTACCATTGTTAGTCTCGGCCGGCGGTTTCCCCTGCTGGAAAAGTCATGAGAAATCGAAAATGCAGAAGAATGAGATATATATAAGGACATTTTCCACTGTTCAATCAGTTCTAGTTACTGTTTATTAACATATGGACGCGTTTATTAACATTCCTTCTAAACTCTAAACCAAGCCCCTGGAGGCGTATTTACCGCTAAGCAAAAATTACGATAGGCTATCACGACTCAAATAAACGACATCACAGCAAACCTGTGTGGTCGACTCCCTTTCCTATGAGCCACCATGCCATGCTCTCCGAGAGAGACTCAAATGATATGTTGCTCTTACTGAATCCGAGCATGATCATCGTAGCTACGAATTATTGGGTAAAGACACCATAGCCTTCATACCGGTGTCCATATATAACGTGAAAGACAGTGACATGGAAGCGCGCCATTAGAGTGGACACTTTTTTGTTTTTTTTTTTAAACTGCTTCCAAAACTGGCTATATAAAGCTTCGCCACACTTAAAGAGATTTCGCACAACAGCACCTAATAGCAGTTTCGAATTGTAAGCTACATACACGATTTACAGTAATACCATCCACTCCGATCAGCAAACCGGCTTCGGAGGCCAGTCGTGTAGTTGGCGCGCGAAAATCTAACAAAATTCAAACCGATTTAAAAATCTAACAAGGCATTATCGTGAGTAACTAATTTTTGCGTATACAGATGTACCAGTGGAGTAAAAGGTCGTAATTTCAGTTCGCTATTTCAAGTCGTTTCAGTAAAAGTGTTTCGGGGAAATGTCAAAAGTGTTCTGTGAGCGGCTTTTTGGTTCACTAACGATTTTGGCCGGGATGATGGCCATGACACAAACAAAAAATCACTCGCCCGATAGCAGCCACTGGCACGGATCACTTGTAGGTGATTAACAAGACAATTAATGATCCACATTTACCAAATTTCACAAAAACTGAAAAACTTGACGAACCTCCGCCATTCTGATGTTTGTTGTGATGATGATGGTGAGCTGTGATGATTTTCGAGTTGGTTGTTTACTTCAAAAAAGGCGGAACGTCGGGCGATTGCATGTAGGCATGGCGGGCGATTCTAAATGTGATATAATAGTGACACCGTGATAGGCGACCTGTTTGCCTGCTAGACAGATATGTGATTGTTTAGGTTCTTGAAGATTATTGATGTTTTCAACCGGTAATAACTATTTACGAGTTTCTCGAAAAAAGAAGTATCTTGAACGATGGAAATCTGCGAAACTGGAGTAAGAAAGCGATTACCGGAGAAAACTTTGTCTAGGACGGGTAACCATCGCAGGCCGTAACAGGATACCAATATTGATGCGCGGGCAGGAAATTTCAGGAGAAAATTTAAATTAATGTATGGTAATAAAGTTTACATCGATGGAAATAATACTAATTTCTTTTATCTTAGCTTTGGCGAAATCGTAAATAGGTTTACACTAACGCCGATAGTAGTAGTGATTAGAGAACGAGGAAATGAACTAATCTGCGTTTTCCATAATGTCATTGAGGCGTTCGGCACAGTGACCGGAGATGAATTCCGAGAGGTACTTGAAAAATGCAATATGAACCATGCCTGTAGGCTTATGGACCCACAATAGCCCTACAAATTTAAGAAACCACTGTCTTGTCTTTCAGAGTAAAAAACATCTATCTATAAAGTACGCCGGACTAACGCAGCGACCACTTCTCGGGTAGAACAGAGAGAAAAAGCTTTTCCAAGACACTTTTGTGCCTTGTGTGTGGAGTGTGTAGAAGGTCTGAGAAGTCCGGAGTCTCCCGGATAAATGTATTAGTAGCCAGCCTAATATATGACAAGGAACTAGCAGTGATGCCAATAATAACTAGAATTTAACTCAAGAGGAAGCGAAGAGCTGCGATGCAGCTTGCCTTGAGAATACCAGGACATTAGAATTGCATTGAAAGTTCTGTACAATAAACCATAATCATGCATTTTCGAGAGTCAGGAGGTCATAGTAAAATTGAATTATTTGGTAAAATAAGCGTTAGCTAAACGATGTGGCAATATCTTTTCCATACATGAAAAAACAATTCCACCGAAACATTCAAGTCATGACTCTAATCACTAATAAGTTCAAAATGCGCAAACGTCGCGTTGTATTTAAAATATTTCTGCTTTATTGTCCGTTGAAAAGTACACTTACATCTATGAATGTTTCTCATATTTAAACAGCTTAATGAGGTATGCAAGTGCTCGAAAATAAAGGTTGGATGCAAAAAAAGAAAACTGACGATGCAACCTAAGGCTCAAACAATCTATGGTCGGCAGCCATGTTTCATCACTCTGGTAATTTTGATTATTCTAAAAAAAAGGTTTTTTGTAATCACATAACTTGCCCCAACAATAATATTTTTACCATTTATATCTTTTTATTTACCTATACCCAGCAAAGCTCGTCAATGAGAGCCCATTCATTTTTCGGCTTCATCATCCATATTAAAGACTGATCTATACGGATTAGTAGACATATACATCTTCGGATCATCGTTTAACTTTATTAGAAGACGCTGCTCTAATATCGTAGTACTTTCGCGAAATCGTTAAGCAAGAAGCGCCAAATTTAAGGTAAGTAAGGAGAAGCCGACCTAAATTAAATCTAATTTCAACCTAATGCCTTTACATAGTAACCAACGGTTTTTACTTGACACTATCGTATTTGTTTATACTAGAAAACCAATTCGCAGCTTTTGCCATTTATATATAGATAGATATATCTATATTTGTATGTCTGTGTCTATTCCACGAGCGACACATAAATATTATACGGTTTGTGAAACTAAAGACGGTAAATCGTATACGTATATATATATATATATATATATATATATATATATGTATATATATCTTCTGCTTACTGACTAAATAAAAATATATTGTTAAATGCACGCCGAGTTAAGTGCACAAGAATTTATGTAGTCCCTTTTTAATTTCACTCCAGCTCCAAAAACTGGGTTAACTATATACATCGAGCGCAGACATGTAGCAGAATAGTCAACTACAGATTTTTTCCAACTACAACTTACAAGAAGTTAACAAAACTATTCACTCATACATTTGGCTCCAAGCTTTTCCAGGAGCCTACAAAAACGAAAAGCCGAACATTTTGAAAGCCTTAAGTTATTTTATATGAGTTTCGATCGTAGCGAACATCATAGCAAAAAACTTACAACCAAATGGTGTAATAAAATGCATTATTTAATTTGGCTAAAAGCATAACCCTGTCGAAAGAATTCGTCTTGCATCGCTTCCGTATTATCATTACCGGTTTTGAATTTAATTTTTCTTATGTACGTGCCTAATGGCTAGTTTTAAAACAACAGGTATAACGTAAAAACATACTGGATAAATAACTGTATAAAAAATATACTGGAGGAAACGATGATTTGGTTGAAAATAGCCATTGTTTTAGACTTTAAGAGATAAGTTGGCTAATAAATGATCCAAGCGCCGATCTGTTTGGATGGCAATGAGCGCGTAATTTCATAATCCGTTGCCAGCTGCTGACTTCTCGCCTTGCGTGGCGCTCTTAGCTAGATACAATACGTCTAAGCTTCCTGTGAAAACGCGTTAAATGGAATTTACCTTGTTAACAGCAGTCAAACGGTAAAGGTGGTCATTTATCTCTGAATACCTTCTATTTGCAACAATGCTGGAATACCGTAATTATGTTGTGTACAAACATTTTTCGATTTGTTAAATTTTCGACTCTTAAATATCAGGCATAGAGAAACAGCCAAAATTTCGATATTTACATATGAAAATTCGCACTCGCTGCGAACATTACACACTGTGTGTGCATACACCCGTATTTTATGTTGTGTAGAGATACAGAAACTATTGAACATTTTCTACATATTTAACATCATTGACTATCCCTCTGACTCTCGACTGGCACGCGTCGATCGTGTCCCAACATCTACATAAATTTGTCAACATGTATTTGCAAGGCGCTTTGCAGAAGTGCTAGCTCTCTTGTAAATCTGCGTCCAGCTGTACTTTAAAAAAAGCTTGTTTGTCTTTATGCAGGGTTCCCTCATGGTCTTCAGCCTTCTAAGCCATCATCTCCATTTTTAGATCGAAGTCTTCATCGCTATCATCGACTTTCGTGATTTACGATCGCGGTGCTATTAACGAATAAAAGTTCATATGTGAGTGAAACAAAAATAACTACTTTTACTACCCATATATATTTCTCATAATTGTTGATAACAGGAATAGAATATTTTCGGCATCAACAGCACAGGACTGCAAGGCTAAGAGGTTGCCTATCTAGAGAAGCAGCTATGCATGTTACTTGGTACCCTCTAAAAATTCTAGCAATTTTTCAGTTCATATTATTCTAAAAAATATAATAAATTAAAAAACTATACTACCTTGCTGCTTACCTTTTATACTTTCGACGTGTGAAACACGTCTTGCTGCAAACGAAAAATCGGAAACACAGCACGTAGTCCAAAACAGGTCCTAATAAAAGTTTTAGATAATCAGGATTAGATTTGTTTGCAGGACAGGTTGGACAGACCCCAAAGCCTGAGGGTAAAAGCCAGAGAATGCTGTTAAAAAATATTGGATCTTATTAACTGTCATTACATATCGCATAAACGTCAAAATTGAATATGTTTGCATTTATTATAACATTGAATGAGTATTTAGAATAATCGTTAATAATTAGATTTGTTGAATCTAAATACGATTAGTTATGCTACGCGAAGTTTCAGGTTTCAGAATCCCTTTCTTTTTAGGGACCCGCCTCGCAAACGAGTCGCACTTATTCCTAAAGCCATTAAATAATTTGCTTAATAAGTTTGCAATTTTCATATGACAGCTTACCCCATATAGTTGTAGTTTCCCCGGACCCTTAAGACATTAAACCTCCAAAGAGAGCCCTCTCACTACAAGAATTAAGCAACCTTCACCTAGACTTGTTATCAACTATCTGAATTGTCTCAGTGGCCTACCGGGTGAATGTTAATTATAAGACGTAGTTGGATAACAACAATTCTATCCTGAGCTTCTTTAAGCAATACGTGTTAAATTCAAGCCCGAGTATCAGAGTCTATACACATGGACATGGGGTTTGTTTTTCTTGAAACGTACAGTATCTAACGAAGGCGCGGGCCCCTCAAATTGTTTACATACTCAGACATACACACGCAAAGTTAATGGGAAAGGAGGAGCTGCGGAAGGAGAGTGATGCAAACTCAGTGCGGGAACAATGCGAATAGTGTAATTAATTTGCTGATGTCAATGAAGCGAACACGTTTATATATGGTAGGTAAAAAGAAAATGTCGGCTATATTAGAGCGAAGCGTATAATAAAATACATGCAATGTAAGACAATCTATGCAGGTCCCTTATATCAGATTTTTCTATTGATTTGAGTCAAAAACTACAATCGTTTCAGATGGGAGACTTGCCTAACTATATAATAGTGAACTTTATTGTATGGGAAATTGTGGTACACAGTCGCGTTGGTAAATTTACCTCGTTTTTGGCACAGCCTTCCTTCGTCTTATACATATAGATATGTGCCATAGAAGCACAAACGTCACATAAGTTTATCACGCTCTATACTCTTTCTCTAACTCCTTATATTATGTTATTGCTTATATTAATAAAGTCCGTACCTATATGTTGTATTGTGCTGTTTTAGCCTTCAGGGGTGAGCCATGTATTAAATTTTTTAAATAGGTTTAATTTTTTTTCAGAAACGAAGAGGTTTATTTTGTAATACATAAGGTTAGATTTTTTGATTCTACGAGGTAGGCTCCAAACTGAGTTTTTAAAATTATTAAAGAACTTTTCAGGCTTTTTGTTATCAGGCTATTTTCAGCCCTTTTGTTATTTGCTGTTTTCGCGGAAATGATTAATAATTTATAGTATTCTCATGGAGAAATTAAAAACACCGGGCGTAAGACGTCAGCGTAGGGACGAGAAACTAGAACTAAAGAATGTTTTAAATAGAAAACGGCATAATATACCTAACAGATATGCACCTACAAAAGAGTCTAGATCTGGCAAGGTCTCAACAATGAACGAAGCGTTGAAGATCGGCAGCTTATTTTATCGACGTAATTCACTTATGTTTATACTGGACATTTTGAAGTCAAGATTAGTTTTTTCCCTCAAGAAGGAGGTTGCATGGAATGTAAAGACGGATTAATTGCAATAAAAAGGGCAATCGGGACAGAAGAATGGGCAAACTGTAATGAAGTAACAAGGTTGCTAGAAAATATTAATAAAAAATTGAATTTTTACAACAGGGTGACGAGATTAGTGCATCAGGGTAATTCTGTTTAATGGAGTTATAGTATAGGTTCAATTAAACGGTCATAGAAGTGGCTTGGGATAGGGCAGGAGGGCAAGGCCTTTGAACTTACTACGTCAGAGATACAGAGAATTAATCGGATCTACGCAACTGGTTGCTAGATTAAACACATTACCTATAAAATGCAAATAATTCCCAAACGAGTCTAAGAAAAGGCTGATGAAATAACCTTCTGGACCTAAAGGACAACTAAAATATTTAAAGGGACAACTTGATAACTGTAGATGAATAACCAGATAAGCGGACCATAAGAGCTAAACTGTGAGTGTACCACGGCAATATTTTATGTTACGCTGGGTGCAACATTAACGAATTAGACTCCCTAAATCAGTCCTCGTGATGGTGTGGCGGTAATACGCTTGCCTAAAAACTCAGGGACACTGACTGAGTTGAGCTCATTCTAATGCCGGGCAGGGACACACTTCGTTTTGAGCTAGGAAAAGCCCCAGCGCAATACAAAGTGATGTTTTACTGGCACGCCAATCAGGAACACTTGTTAGGTTACTTAAACAACGGAAAAGTGGATACACTGCGAAATCCGCGAATCTATATAAGCATAATCTAGATATAACAACAAACCGTAATTCTGTATAGATCGTGGTTTATTATTTCGCGATTATCGCGCTTCTCCTAAGAAATCTTCTTACATAGAGTTAATTCGTTTCGAAGGATCGACTCAAGAGTTATAGGCCGTTATAACGATGTTACACAGTAAACTAGTCTGTCATTTGCAGCAAGAACAGGTAAAATGGTACGAGTTATTTAAGGCATTTGTTCACACAGGAATCTTGCGTAGTGTTGCATTACGTTACATATTGCATGATACTGAATTATCCTAATTATGATATAGTAATATGTTTATGTACAGACTCGAAAGACAAATGCAGTGTGTGTGTGTGTGACTCAGCCATACCTTCTATGACCATAAGAAGTGAACTTCGTTCTCCTTTTTGGCTAGTACATTGACGACTAGGTTAAGAAATAATTTGTTTGGGCCAGTGGTGCTATATCAGCTTGGCCCCGTAGATTACCTATATGCGTTTTAATCATTTGCTGTTTAGAGTTAAGACACAGCAGTTCTCTACGTAGCAGCATCAAGCTGATGGTTGATGGCCTTGTTGAAACTCTATACGAGAAGTCTTGGTAAAAGCGGTCGGAGACACACCATTTATATCGTCCAGAAGCGAAACGATTGCCTCACTCAGCAATAAACATCAGAGAAATAACTTTAAAACACAAACACAACAGGATTTACACAGCCGTTATTACAGGGGCAGCCGTCAACTTTTACAGGTCGACGGCGGTTAGAGAAAGCAAAGGCTCTCGGCATGACAAATAAAACTATTGACGAAAATCCAGTATCATCCCCATAACCTGCTAATAACTTACGTACGTAACGCACAATAAAGGTGTTGTCTCGTTAGGCTTCGAGAGGTGGTGGACAGCCTAGATAAATTTCCACTGCTGTTTCAAAGCAACATATTTCAAACACACTGAATCAGGGAAGGAATCATCTTTTTCTTGCATCTAATTATGTGTACATGATATGATGACTTGTTGAATACTTTGGTAAAATTAAGGTACTACGGTGAACAACACTTTGGCAACAGCTATCAAAAAATTTCTAAGCTATTGTATAAATTTATCCATATATATATATATATATATATTGTGACATTAATGAGGCACTTGGTTGGAACATACAAGGACATTCATTTAGGCTCGGAACATCGAAGAGGCACCTGGCATTAGGGTGTTATGACAGCTCAAGAAAAAAAAATTGCTTTCTCATCATCTATTTCTAATTATTCCTGCTAAGTTGAACATTTTCCATTTCTCCTTATACGTTGAATTTCCTAATGTGCTCTGATCGTTTAGATAAATGTGGTTATCCGGCGATTTTGGTAGCTACGCGAAAGTCACAACCGTAGACCCTGTAAATGTTAACGTACATCACGAGTCGTTGATGATCCCATCGTAGTCCTTAATGGAGCTCTGGTCGTAGCTTTCCTTCATCTCCTTGAGGATGATGGACTGCTCCGATCTTTGCTTTATATCAGAATGCGTGGACGTTACTCCAAAAAGGAATCTGCGTCGTTGCTCTTCTTTACTCTCGCTTGGTATCGCTGTCTTTGTTGTCGGAGGCGCTTCCGAAGTTGGCTCCGTCTTGGCTTCTTCTGCGACTGGCAACTTTGCCTCGTCTGTGATGACCTTCGTCGACGTCGCAGTGTTGAGGATTTTGTCCTCCTCTATCGAAAGAAAATGAGAAAGATCGACACATAGAAAATTTATAGAACACATTACGGTTAAATAGACAGGTTGAGGACTTCCAAAAAGAAAAATGCAAGCTCTAAGTTGAAATGGGGTTAAAGTAAAAATTCTAGTGAACTGAATAAAATTATGTAGGTTCAGATATTAGGAAGGTTATACGGTTATGAGCGTAAGCAGCGAGCTGTGCAAATTATTGGTTAAATAAGGACAAACAACCAACCTAAAATTTAGAGAAAAGGCAGTTTGTATATACAATCTAGACCTTCCAGTAATTAACGTAGACAGAACGGGTCAAATGACAAAGTTGTCTTACTTTCTTCGGCAGGCGTCTCCTGGATGTTAAGAGGCAGCTTGATTGCTTCTTGATCGCTCTTCTTAATTGATCTATTTGATTTTATGCCACCGTTCACCACCGTCGACGAGGCTGGCGTCGTTATAGCGATAATGGTTGTTTTCTCCTCGACTTGGACTTCGGTCTTTTCCTTTGTCGTTTCACCAATCTTCTTTAGAATGTCGCGCTTCCCCGGCTCCACTTGGTTAATGATAGTTTCCGACGTTTTATTAGATGATTGTTGCGTTGCAGATGTGACAGTACTGGCACCAGCAGCACCAGCATCCTTAGTTTCTGCCTTGTTATCCTGAGCTTTGGATTCTTGTTTCGCATCAAATTTCTTCTCTTCTACCTTTGGGAAGGCGTCATCCTTTTTTTTCTGGATGGTGGCGTACAGTGCTTCCACTTTGGGTGCCTGGTACTTGGCATAGCTGGCAAGGTGAGGATCAGCCGGCTTCAGCTGAGTGCTTTCCTTTACCTTGGTTCGGCCATCGACTACGGTCGTCTCCGTGGTCTTGACCTCAGTCTTCTCCGGAGTAGCCACAGCGGTTTCGGTCCTTATGACCTGCTCTTTGCTCGGCAAGGTTGTCGATTCAGTTCGGGTGATGATGGTTCGTTTTTCGAGGTGTGGACTGGGCGCTGATCTTTTCAGCGTCCCTATGGTACCGACACCCGAAACTATCGCTCCCAACCTGCTACTAGGAGAACTACCACCCGAGCTAAGCTCTTCCTTGATAATCACTACAGGCGTAGGAAGACTCGAAATTTTCTGGTACTGCGTTTGCGTCTGATGGTCTCCTCCTGATTCGACTTCTGAAATGTTGGAGAGATTTTCACTTGAAACCGTGGACACTCCCCGGGGGCGTATCGGTCGCCGCAGTAGCATTTTTTCGGACCAAACCTAAAAAGCGATAAAAACAGAGAAAATTGATGTTGTGCGATATCACTGGTGCTTAGTTCTGTAGATCTCATAGCTCTACGAACCTTGTCACGTAAATTATACTAATAGCTCTTAAAGTAAACGCATACATTACGTTGAATAACAAATAAACAAGGTGGATTAGACAAGTAATAATAATTACCGACTTTCAATCTAGTGATAATGTCTACTATTCTAGTCAACGACGATAAGATAAAACAAGATGACCTTTTTGTGAAATCGAGATGGCTGTTAAGCAGTGCTCGTCTGATGTGTGCGGCTGGTAACTCAAAGAATCCCTGTCTTCTGAATGTCTCCGTTTCCTCTGATAAATAGGTTCTTTATTTTCAGGAAGGGGTTTAGGATCTCTCTCTTAGGGAGTTCAAGACAGGCAGCATTAGCGAGTTGCGTGTGACTATTTTGTTCCTCAAAGCCGTCGGAACCTTCTCTACGCACACGTTTTTCATCATTCTTGTCGGAACATTTTTTCGTGCTGCTTCTTTTTATCAGAATTATTGTCGACGAACATTTTTTTGAAAACCTTTTCCAGAGTAAGTTTTTTTTTAATTTTCGTGGAATTGTTTGTTACACTTGTACCTTATGTGGAGCGTTCTTTAGCCTACGCTGTTTTCTGGCTGGCTCTTGTTGCAAAATAGCTTTCGGTATCGGTTTTTTTGTTAACGCCTCGTTTTTCGAGCCAGTCCCTGTATCTAGGCGCGTGGCTTTAGGGAGTTTTCTTACATCATTTACTAGAGCCATGTCCGTAGAAGCTTTGTATGCGGAACCTTTTACATCAGAATCTGTTACTGCTGACTGAGACATGCAGATAACGTCGGTCGAAGTTTTGCCAATTGAAATTTTTTTTTGGACAAAAGAAGAGTTTTTCTTAAATGCCTTTGCGGAGTTAGACGTGGATGTGTCGCCATTGTTAGCTTTTACGGTAACGGGTTTCCCTTTGATTATATATTCGCTTACAGTTTTATCAGTAGTTTTTTCCACTTGTGTTAGATGTGGTTGGACAGTCTGAGGGCATGATTGGCCCTTCAGAGATGTGCAGTAGGTTTTCAGCATTTGGATAGCTAGTTTTTCACTATCAGCATTTGTAGCTGGCTTTTGACTGAACGATTTATTGGGGCAGAACTTTGTAACCTGCATATCTCGTTGAGGTTTTTTCTTTAAAGCTAATTGACTCTCGCGTTCGGCGTGAGACATTACAAGCCTTTGCCCTTTCGGACCCTCGGCTATCGCGTTGCCTTTCCAGTCTTCACCTTTTAGTGCCCTCACCTTATTCAGGATCATTTGTCGTTCGCGGTCCTTGGCTGCGAGGTCTTCCTGGTCCACAGCTGGTAGTAGTGGAAAAAGACGTCCTATATCTTGCTCGAGTGCCTGATTTAGTAGATCGAAATACTTTCTTTTGCGTGCCCTGATTTTATTAAAATCGAAAGTTTGCAATTTTCGTCGCATCTCCTTGATACTAGGAAAGTCACCAGGCGGAAGCTGGTATTCCATTTGCAGTTTTTCATAAATTTGGGACAGCTCAAGAAGCAGTCTCCTATAATAAGCAAAAAGGCTTTTTGATTAATTCAATGCAATAATTAGTTTATTTTTATTCGTTTATAGCTTAAGCAATCAAATTAATATAAGGCTAAACAATAGCTAGAATAAGGAAAGTGAGAACAGTATCTCCAACAAAAAAAAAAAAGGAATAAAAATGGAAATATGATTGCATTACAATATTTTATCTAGGCCTATTTTCGCCCTCCTTTAATCTTCTTGATTTAATATATGAACAGTTTTGACTGGACCTTTTTTAGTTCGTAAAATGGCTCGAGCTTATGTTGTGTGCGGGGCGCCAAACATGCACTGACTTGTAACAAATGTTACATACTTTTTTCGCCTTCCTGAACTAATACCGAAGACGGGCATGCATCGGCGCAGTTCGGCCATAATATGAGAATGGATTCGAACATTCTTCGCACGACGCACGAGATCGTTAAGTTTGCGTAAATCGGCATCTCTAGATAAAGTGTAGATGTCAATGATAAGGTCAGCTTCTTCTTCTTCGAACAGGTGTCGATTTTCTTCATGAACCCAGGGATTTTCCCAAAATGAGCCGATATATACACGAGCCGCCTCGGGAGTGGCCATTACCTAAAAATGAAAGGGGCTACCTTAAAAGATCAAGTCTTTCTCCAGTGTTAACTATGACGAGAACAAAATGAATGCGGCGGTATTTCAATACGAAACATATTTATGTTATACGCTCAACTTTTTGCTTTCAATGAAAAAAAATTTTAACTCTACCAAATGGTATCCCCACTCAGTCCTGCTTGGTATTCAACTTCATTTGTAGCAATTAAGCTTCTCCGCGGTGGATGGAGGTGTACAATCTTGCAATGCTCGGATCCCATTGCCCACTCACATTTTAGTTCAATCACTTATTCTGTAGTGTAGTGTCTGATGTCTAGTATGTGAGCTCGGCTTTTTTAAATGTAATTAACCGCTACTGGTAAATGTAAATAACCGCTCATTAACAAAGTATCTGATAGAAATTACCTTTCCAAGCGACCACATCAGTGCCCCATATACTCTCATTAGCTGCTGCGTGTTGACAGTATCCGACTTATTCAAGACGATTTTGATTTTGTCTTCATAACCTGATCAAATCAAGTATTTTAATCAATCAGTTTGGAATATATTTCTATTGTTTGTAATTCAATATAATGAGCTTCTGTCGATCACCACTGTTAAAAGGGGTAGATAATATTGAAGCACAATAACACAAGCACAGCTTACCTTTAACCATATCGATGGCAGCTCGAAGTTCATCAGAAATGTCCAATTTATTGATATCAAAAAGTAAAATAATTCTATCGCAACGTTCCGCAAACCACCTAAAATAAATAGTCATAATTTAATCTGCTATATATACTAAAATAAAGTTGACAAAATGTCGTATAAAGTATTATTAGTCTAGACGCAATAATTAAGTAAGCGACTTGCCTGAGTACAGCGGTAAGGTCGTAACCCCTTTCCTTTTCACCAGATAGAATTCCCGGAGTGTCAACTAATGTAAATCTTTCAAGAATTTCGCTGTGAACTGTAGAGCACTGGAACCGATTGAGGAACTGTCCCCCAAATTTCGCTAACGAACTGTATTGTTTCGTTTTGTCGACTACCAAAGCATTACCTGTTTAACAGGGATTCAAATAAGCGAGTTATCAGTTATGTAATAAACAGGTGATCTACGAGTCTACGCTAAAAGCTAGAAAACAAACCTTCCAGATATGCTTTGCAGATTATCGAAGCGCAGACACTTACCCGGAACGATTCCCTCGTCCTCGCCGTACTCTACAACAATAAAGTTGTCTGTGGTTGGTTCCGGCCCAATTCGCATGCCCGGGTACTCCTTTCCTAAAACGTACTTAATGAACGACGTCTTGCCCGTGGAGTATTCTCCAAAGAGAAGCACCAGTGGCTTCGACTCGAAGTACGCCGGTTCCAAAGGCGTCGAAAAGAAATCCTAAATTATATTAGTACGAAAGCGATCACAATGAATATTCGTTAGGCACTGAGCGTAAATTTAACACAATACTGTATTCTGTCGTTGTATCGCAGTTTCTCTAAAAACTAGAAATCTGATTTGTCAGGTTTCCTCTAGCTGCTACCTGCAAGCTACCAAAAGCAAGTTCCTTTTAAGGATCCAGACGAGACTTTAGACTACTCTTTCTTGTGTTTTTATTGCAACCCATTATAGTTTGTCAGTAAAAAAAAGGAAGCAAATCTATGAAATTTCATAGTATACCTATTATGGCCTAGCTAACAATCCTTATCGCCACTTTGGTGTAGGTTAGGTTTGAAAAAAAGCCGGAAGTATTTAGCTATACTAATAGTCAATACGAAAAATGCCGCTGGCTATCACCGAACTAAATAATGATTTTTGTCTTGTTTTTATCTTGCCGCTTGTTTTAACAATTCGATAAAATTTTTTAATTTGAAAAAAAGTAGTAGATACCTGGCAAGATAGTAACAGACCTCCTAGCCCATGTGGTTTATGAAGCCTCGAGGGAAATATTAAACACATTTTATTTATATATCTTTCAATAAAGATTATCCTTATTGAAAAGATCGGTTCGTAAAAAAATAACGAACACTTTAGGGCGTTTTCTGATGCAATTAGATTTAATATAATTTTTAACACTAATTCCAGAATATGTACCAGGTACTAATTCGTTGCATTTCGAAGTAGCTCATGCTCATTGATGTTTGATGCCAGATCGAGAAATGCATGTAAATGCTCTAAAATTATTCTGTAAAACATAAATATCTAATAGGGATAATATGTTGTTTATATCCGTGTAAATAGAATAGAGAATTAGCATTAGCATTATGTTAAAGAAACAATGAGGGAACTGGTACATTTATTTAGCTAACAGTTTGATGCGAACTGCTAAAAGTAGCGTTTTTTTTACTACGCGCACCGGATTAGCTAACTGCCATTTTATTAGGACATAGATTTTTAGTTAACTCCGGCATAAAAAATAATAAAATAAAATTAAAAAACATAGTTAAAAACATCGGCACAAAACAAGGATAGCGTATATATATATATATATATATATATATATATATTGCTAGCCAATGTATTTATTGGCTTTATGCAGTTATTAATAAACTAATACATTTTATTTCATTCTGCAAAAATGATTTATTCTAAAACTCAAGCTGTTTTTAATATAATAATAGGACGACACGCTATATACGTTTTTCCTAACTGAATTAAATTTGGCATCACAGATTAGTTTACCTTACCTCATAGTTGTAGTGTTTTTCGAGGGGTAGGATTTTAGTTCCATAAAGCTCCTTTAACGCATCGGAGACCGTCACCTCGTTACCTTTACGCACTCGGGCGTCGTACTCTCCGCGATGAAAGGTAAAAAATTTGGCCAGCGGCATTTTCGCCTTTCTGAGACTACTCAATCTTGTAAAATTACGGCTCGCTGAGGAAACGAAAGTAAAAATGCTGGTTAGTAGAATAAACCAATAAAGCACACTCATGTTTCAGCGAGCTGTGACTAAATACGGCAGTGTTAATCTACTGAATAAGTAATCAATTCAGACAAACTATAATAAACGTAACACATCCTTTTGCAGGTATGTGTGTGTGTATTATATATTTGTATTATTAAACTGTTACAAAAATTAGGAAAAAATCTGCCAGACAAAACATCTTTTTGGTCGTTCTTTTCCTATGAGTGTCCCATATTACCCGAAAAGGGAGAAATTAGTGGGAGCAAATTCTTAGCTTTTAACGTATTCAGCTTTGCCGAGAATTCGAGAAATTGTTCATAATTTTCTCGAACTCTGTGCTTATATGTCTGACTGAAACATGAAGTATACTTCAGAGAACTACAGATACATGAAAAAATCGTATCGATTTGTAATGGATTAAAGAAATAAATGCTCGTCTTGCCGAAAAACAAATGGGTGTGTTGAAGGGGAATCCTTCACAAAAATGGCATAATTGTATTTATATGGAACACATCATTTTAGGTTCCGTGAATTTTTCCAAGACCCAGAAACACTTTTGAAGTGGGCAACTAATCACTGTAAACTTAACCCGTAACGACTCTTCCTGAGGAAGTCCATATATGAGATTCTAGCACGACGCGTCGAAATGTAATAGGTATCTTATATGGGAGTCTAAACGATGGTATTCCGTTCTTAGCTAGGATGTGCCGTTACGTTTTTCAGCACTTCTGCCAAAAAAACGCACGCGCGCGCGCACGCCCATTATTACTCTTTCGCGTAGTTCTTCAACAGAGGACCGTGTTTAATTAATAAACACGGTCCTCTGTTGTAATAAAATAAGTCCTGTATAGCAAATAAAGTGATAAACTTGTAATAAAGCATTCAACGAGCTTGTCTGGTAATTCTGTTCGACGTATTTTATTACTTTTTACATGATATACATAACCATCTTTACTTCGAACGGATATCATATGGGAAGCCAGAACTTCAGCAACAGTTAGCAACTCATCACAGCGTGCCAAAGAGAACCCCCATTGAATTAGTCGAGTAATAGTCGCATTATTTCTTCCCTAACGACAAAAAACAACGTCTCCTGGCTCTCTTCTCTCTCTTCGAAATTCGCATCTCTAAATCATTTACTCCATTCATGTACAGATGAACCTAAAACTTCCCATTTGATAAAAGCCGTTGGCCATATTAGGATGAACATTTAGATACCAGATATCCGAGCGGCTAACGATACATACTTCTACCGTCATAGCATGGGCCTGCAACGATCTAATGAAACCTAATTCAAATAACTACAGCTAATCCAGTATAGTTCACGATATCCACGGCCATCGATGGTGTAATACTGTATTCTACTACATCAGATCTATCGATAAACAATCCTTGAATTTCAAGAACCTAATAAATGGTTTCCACTGATTCAAACTCACAATTTTGCTTCGTCCTTCATTACACTAACGAATATATTCTCGTATGACTTTCGGCGCTAATTTCTTAGAACGTAACTTTCTAAAAAAAGCCATTGCTTAGTAAATACTGTTGTTGTTGTTGCTGTTTTGACAACAACTAATATCAGTCATTTGTCAACGATTTAAAATAAGCCATGATTCCTCATCATTTCGCTTTTATATGAGATTGAATAGTTGGGCAGTTACTATTCAGAGCTATCCTCTAGCTATACAACCACGTCCGTTTGGCATTGCCGTTAAGCATTACCTCATCAAGATCTCAAAACCATTTTTGGCCGGAATCAAACGTAAACTTTCGTGCCTGGTTTGGGACCTAGACGACTATGCGTGTATCCGAGCTTGCTAGGTAAACATCTTACCTGCTTCTTGAAATCTTTTTTATGTCGGTCATCCGCAGAATTCCAGATTGAAATAAATAGATAGCTCAAATATTATAAACATATGCCGTTTTGATTAAATAAACATATATAATAATAATAGAATATACTATTGGAACGTGCACGCTTTTGAGCTTTCATTTGCGATGTGAAATCTCAACGGTTCCAAGAAGATTGCTAGTTTTCGCATATCATGTATAAGATATGTGATATTGTGCTTGGCTCGAGGTACCAGATCAACCAATTTTACACTCACTTCCATATTTTGTTTGTTTTAGATAATAAAAACTGAGTAAAAATGATTGACTATTTCTGAGCCTGCTCCGAGAGTACTCTAAAAAGACAGAACTGTACTTTACAAAAGAAATTGCTGAAAGTCTAGACTAATCTGAGGGCTTTTGCAAAGGTGTCTTTAATTCGGGAATGTCTCAGACCCTTTCCTACTTTGTAAACAAAGAAAGGCCTAAGCTAGACATACATGTCGATCTAATTTTGCATTGACCGGTGTAACGAATTCCCAAGTATGTACACAAATAGCGGTAGTATCGAAATGTTGCGGAATGTACGCGGTCTACAACGGTGTTACCCATTGCACTTCGCCCAATATGTCGTAGAGATCTAATTCGCATGATTACTATCCGCGTGATGTTTGTTCTTGGCCTCGGCTGAGAATCATCCTTTGAGCTGCGGCGTCCCACGGCACGTTCTTAGCTGGCAAAGGTGCTGCCTAGATAGATCTAAGTGATTAAAATGAACCTATGAGGATAGAATGCGCAAGCTCAACAGGGGTGAAGAGACCTGAGCGAGTGAAAGAGATCGGCAGTGACTGCTAGCTAGACGCGCTTCAAGGCGAAAAACCTTGGTAAAGTCCGCCAAGGGTTTTTCTATCATTAGCTTGTTATAGGAATCCGAAATGTCAAACCGGAGTAGCACCGCAGCTTTTAAACTAAGCAGGACCTCCAGAACTGAACATGTGCTTTGTAGAACAAGGAAGTTTTAAGTACTTATGTGCATCTAAGACATGTAGGTAACACTAACCCCTCCTCCTTTGCATGGACTCAACCCTGAATGAAAATTCTTCTTTATTGAGAGTGGTCTATATAGAAGTAACGTTTTGATATTGGTGATTCAACAATTAAAGTGAAATAGAGCCACTGACTGTGATACTGGGCATTATCGTAGTAACAATACCACAAACTGTAATTTAACCACGCCTACAAGATGTCCCCAGCCCAAACTGCACAACATGAAAAAGAGCTCACTGGAAGCATTTTCTGCCGCTTCGCGTCGCCTTATAAACAACAGCATAGTTTTTGTCTTATGTACATCGATATGTTAACATCTAGAACAGTGATCCAGAAATGTAAGAAAGCTGTAGAGAGAACATTGTGCATATATGGTAGAACTGGCACTTCTAGTGGTCATGTTTATCCCGTCTAACGACCATTCACCACTATTACAGCTCCCATTCACGAGCTAAGCCACAAATTAATAAATTTAACATTATTTAATTTCTTAATTGGCAAATAACTGTTTTATACTAACCGCGCGTGCAGCGATGTTGGTAGTTACAAACTCGTTAGAGTATCGCTCAAGTAGGTTACATACAGAAAATTTAAATGAAATTAAATTTGGGTTGGCCAAAAGTCCTAAGACGCAACAACTCAAAACGGCCTGAAAGCCCGAAAGGTGCACTAAGGCCCCAAAAACTGTCCGTTGAAGCTTATCTGAACTACTCAATTGGCAGTTTATTATCTCCTCCCCAAAATAGCCTTTAATTTCTCTATCGAAAAACTAGATTCATCAAATTTCTTTTCTAAGCCATTTTTATGATATTTTGAGCTTCTTGAACGCACCGCCCTGCGGGTTTCACGGTTGTTTGACAGGGCAATACGCAGAAGTCTTGGAGGATTTCTCATGCCTCCTATTGAGGTTACCGTATCCATGCATTGATCTCTTGAATCGGCTTGGGATAATACGTTCCGGCTCCTACCAACTCCATACAAGGCCATCATTACAAAAGCGGCATTTGAAAAGTACCATTTTGAACATAAAGCTATGTCAACAAACTAATGTGATCCAGGTTTAATACCGTTGGGTAAATAATCAAAAGCACTTTCATAGCGTCTGTTACACCCCGCCTTTTTCGAGGGCTTATGAGGTTTACATAAACATTATAAATAGCAACCATAATTATTTCAACCAAACGACTGTTTACCGGCTAAGCCGGTAGGAGAAACAAACCGATAGAACGCTACTTTGCTGATTTTTTACTGGTTATGTCTTTGTATAATTTTCGTTCTATATAAAAATTAGCGCCCGCGTACTCGTTACTGTTACCATACGCTTGCATGCCAGAGGTCAAAACCGATCCGGTCTGCCAGCCACCTTAGATGAACTAGCCTAAAAACTCAAGGTGCTAAAACAACAAAGCCCAGTTTTAGGAATTACAGTCTCACCATGCCAGCCTCGATCCTATGGGGTGACAGGTCTTTTAAAAACACGTACAACTACAACCACAATGACGGTGTTTAACTGTGTATCTGCCAGTTACCAACCCTGACTTGTAATAAAATGATAAACCCTTGAAAGTGTCGCCAGTATGTCCGTATTGTTTCTGTTTTGCATGGCAAAGAGACGGTACAAAGCCGTCAGCTCACAGTAAAGATGATAATATATCGCATTAGTAACGGTAATAGACAGACATGTTTCGAAGTGATGTTTTGTGGCCTATTGAAACCGCACACAGTCGTCGTTCCATTTAGTACTGAGTACTGAAAACTTCAACCTTTCTCTACTGGTTTGCCTTATTTTTTCATTAGTGTTATCGCGTATGTGGTATTCGGTCTCGCCGTTGGCTGATCTCAACAAAAACAAGTGTGTTAATTGCCTATTCCCGACTAATACATCCTAACTAGCTCATCTGCTCAGCTTGCCGTCATTCGGCCCAGCTTCGCCTACCCAAATTGAATGCAGAGGCCTTTCAAGCGAAAACTAGCGGGCTACACCGTGCGCGGTGAGGACGACTCAACAGCGCACCGAGAAGACGTCGCTTAGAAGATAGCAGCTCGTGACGGGCATAAAAGGTGCGCGAGTCTAAGATCAACCGTAAAGAATGGCGGTGTCATCCAGTAAGAAGACGATGATGACGCAAGTAGATGGATTCACCAGGGAACGAACGGTGTGATCGGTGAATACTATGCGTGTAGTACTTTTTAGAATGGCTTCCTGAGAATCATTTTTTCGGTGCTCGACTGCCGTACGTTGGGGTAATAACAGGAATAGGATGATAGGTGGTCAATCTAAGGTGCCAGGGCTGCATAATGTCACTAACGTTATTAGAAATATGTGTGTTTACGTATTACTACCTAAGGTATGCTACAGAAATAAAAAAAACTACTTGGTAATCTTCCTGCTTCATTTTTGTTCGTATGATAAATACTAGAAAACGAGCAAAATACCTAAAAGGAGCCGATTTTTTTTTACTTTTTAATTTTTTTAAAGAATCAGGAGGCAACTTTTGGCCATTGGTCGCTGTTCGCTACATACGCATTGACTTTTTTGCTATTTTAGCAAAGAAGTATAACGTGGTCGATGCAGGAATATCTCGAGAACACTGGACAGCGTATATGACTTGGACGCTTTCTCCGCATTTCTGTGAATGTTAACTTTAGCTGGAAACTGGGCCCTAGCTCAAGTGTCGACTCATAGAAATGATATATATTCGTAGATTCTCAATACGACTCAACATGCATAGAGCGTTAAATGCTTTGAATTTATTAAGCATTGATCATTGTCTTTATAAATGCACATTTCTGTGCTATGAAACATTGATATAATGGGCAAATGAAATGATTCAAACTGTCCTACCAATGAACAAATACAATGTATTGGCAAATTGTGTGCTTAGAGTTACACGACCGAATTCTCGTACCGAATCAGCCAGCGGCAGTAGCGTTTTGTGCTAGCTCAATCCAATCGACGCCGTGAGTCAAGATGGGAACCCACACTGTCGTGACCTATTCCGCAAAAGGAACGCTAACACCTGTCGAAGTTGGCGCAAGCCTGCAACCATCATTATTGTTACCATCTCAAATGATTTTACTATCGCGTTCTGTCTGGTAGTGAGTCGTAGCTCTCAGCTTTTCGTTCGGCGACGATGTAGTCTGTCCAATAAAGTCTAGCATCTGCTTTTTCTATTGGGCCTTTAAGCCAATGCCAGCCAATGTCCACTAAGATAAATTGGGCCTGCCTGAGAAATGCTATTATCGTTGTCGTAAGCTTTTAGTGACTTTAACATACTAACGATCAATGCCTAACCACTATAAATTCAAATCAACCAACTTTCCGATAAATACTCATAACACAATAAGATTTCACAAACGATGATAAGCCCGTGAAAAAGCGAATATCACAACTGTACACGATAATACTAAGTAACTACAAGACACGATCACATATTATTAAACAAATTACTTGTACATATATGTGTTGGCGCAGGGCTTGAATGTTTATAGGCGCTCAGTTTTTTAATTTGACTTATAAGCGAAAGATGTTTCAGGTGACTATATATTACAGCGCAATCCCTACAGAAGGGAATAGGCCGTGACGCCGCACATTAATAGCCGGGCACAGGCCGCACAAACCGTACAAATAAAAGAAAAATTGGTAAGTATCTTTCTGAAGTGGTACAGTTGTCACAAACTACGAAAATTAGAAGGTTTTCTCTTGAGATTGATATCAAACATAGGACTGTGCAAGTATCCTTCCACAATTGAAGTAAGTTGTCAGGCTGGTGTCTTTGAATTCGCTACTGGGATAGGACCTTTCTTTCAAAAGTGACAGGTATACGCATAATCCACAGGACATGTCATTTCTAGCAATTAGTTCGTACCACAAGCCTATTGCATTAAACAAGTCCAATGACTTCTATTTAACATCATATACCATATGTAACTTCTCGATGCATCGAGAGATGGTTTTTTATGTATTTACACATATACAATAGAAAAGTCAATAGATCGACTATGATGCGTAAAAGAGTCCTCCTAATTTGAGACGACCTTTATCATTGCAGGTAAGACGCTAGTTCTAAGTGAGTCCGCACAGATCTCTGCTTTTAATGCGTGGCATTCTTCAGACGGGTTTTCGTGGTTTCAGTGGTATCTACATATGATCTACAGTCAACTAATCCGTTGAGGGCGTGCGGGACGCTATCGGATGTTACAGCCAATTTTCGATATATAGAGTAATAACGAGCAGATTTCCGACTTGATCTACCTATTATATCATAGCCATTTTATCTATATACAAGCTACATACGCTTATTATCTGATTTGGGCGGTGTCGATTACCCGTATTCATCTGCCATTAGCCGGTAGTTCCTGTGTTGTCTGAACATTAACAACAATCTGTGCGTCACTGCAAACTTAGCCTACGGAAGTGCAAAAAATGACAAGAGATTTCCCTTTTTTTCCACTTTTTATAAATACTGCCCGATCAGCTGACGGCTCCGAGAGCAGAGCAACTTGTAGATGGAGGATCTCTTCAACGGAAAACAACGGATAACGTCATCAATGTCGTAATTTCAATCACCCAGAGCGTCAACTCCCGTAAGAGCACATAGATACGCTGGTAACGTAGCAGCACAGGTATATTGGATAAAACGGCCTTGCGACGCGGGCGAGGGTAAGCGCCACGTAAGTACACCCAAGAATAAAGCTGTGGATATACCTAGCCGATGTATATATATATAATTAGAAGCAAAAAGTAGCTTACATCTCCGCGGAGTATCTTAACCCGATAATACATAGTTAAGCTATACACATTTTCGATTGTAGTAGATTTTAAAATACATTGATGTAGCCGTCTTATAGAGAAGCCGCTCAGTAAGACTAGCTTATCATAATTTACCTTTACAAAATAAACAAAGATGCTCTTTAGTCTTTTGTTGCCTTTAATTTAGGGAAAATATATTGGATGGAATTACATAAAACGCTGGTGTCTGCCACCATTTCTGGTAGTAATTACTTAGGTTTTGAACTGACTTTAAAGGGTCATCATGAGAACAGTATAGAAATATTCCAGCCGTGTGTCGAGTCAGTACCATAAAGCTCGGGACAGCCAGTCAACAAAATATGTTTATATTTAATATATTCGTAAGCAATATAGACCGACAATAGCTGCAGACAAGGTAGTCCTAGCTACCTTCTCTTTTTGACAGGTCTTTGTTTATTGGCTATTTGTGTTGGCATCTAGTGAGATATTCCGAGGTGCTCAGATGCTCCAAGATCTTAACAAGGGCTAGGCAAGCAAGCCTTCCATAGACCAATCTCTGCATTATGGCACAAGAATGCTCATATTAAGCCAGTGCCAATCTACCGTAATAATATCCTGTAGCAAAATGACTGCAATAGTCCATGATGTTGTACACTATAGTTTGTTGCTACCAATAGTTATCCATAGACCATTGCAGCTTTTCATCCCAGTTATTAACACGAATTCAACACGTAAGTTTCCATGTCATACTGAACGTGTCTAGTAACGTCAGCCAAACGTTACTATAGGCATTGTGAGCATTAACATCACACATTGATTGGAGGAGGTAATGTAGTTCCTTTAACTTTAGCATATATGTATGTCTATTGTTAAGCTGCATTAAAGCCATATCTATTTACTAGGTAGCACGACCCCATCTTTGAGTCCCACTCCCTGATCTATTGTGTACCACGTTTGTTGTAGGAGGTCATTGCCTACACAGTGCATCCTGAGCTTAGCCGGTCAACGCGTGATTCGCGTGCTATATGTTCTCCTGATTCAGTTGGATCTGGTTGATTGTACTGGTTTGCTCATTGATTTTCCCGTTTCCAAGGGCACTTATCGATGGCTAGGTCGTCGATTTCTTTGTTCATCTGTGGCCTGCTAAGAGCTACGTTGGTTCAATCCGGCTTCTTTCTAGCCATGCGTGTCCGGCTGCCTGTCAGTTTTGTTATGTTCGCTACTATAGACCGCATCGCTATCGTGATCACCTATCGGTCGTGGCCGATTCTAGCTGATGGTTCTTCCCTGCGAACTGTTTACAAAAGGAAATTTCGAAGTAAAGCAGGCCATGAGCAGGGCTGCTGCCGAGAAGGTCTTAGAGGTGGACTTGTGCTACAACTGCCACAATATCTGATTTTTAGCTAATTTAGTCTTTCCATAAATGCGCGGTTCTAGCTAGAAGCGACGTTGTTGATGTTGTTGTTACTGCTGCTGCTGCTGCCGGAGTCGAAAGCGCGTGTTTAGAGGAAAGCTACTTGCTTATTTAACATTCAAAGAAGGTAACAAAGATATGGCAAAGTAAGATGAGTTCGGCCCAACGAATAATGCCAGACTATACTTGAGGAAATCATCTCTGGTTTGTTGGCGTAGGCTTGAAACTATATACACGAAGACTGCTCATAGCGTTTTGTGGTGAATACAACACAAGGCTGTCAGTAACAGGAAGTCTTTTTTTCGGCAGTACGCTGCGGATTAATATTATTGTCCAGTTAGCGAACTCGATGATAGAAAGCAGTGAAAAGCCAGCGGTGTACATTTGCGCATAAAATATGCGTTGATAGAGGCATGTAAATAATCGGTCGTTCGTGTTTACATACTAATATGGTATGGGTCCGCCGGTAAAAAAACGGGCCAAATGTGATCAACATATCCACAACGGCCGAACAAATGGCGGCGAACTTTAGAATAACATCGAACACGATTTTGTGCAAATAAGTGTTGCTTGGCTGGATGGACTAATGGCTGCTAAATATACCAACGAAACGAAACCCAGTTACACAACGCTCGGGAAAGATCCGGGAACAAAATTTGGTTGTCTATGTCCTACCGATGATGTTAAATTGAGCTGTTCGAGTAAGTAAACTCGATTTGTTCGAAGCACAGTCATAAAATGATAAATAAATTGTATAAGATTTTATCTCACTTTTTTAAAGGTTACTATTTTCAGTAATGACCGCAGAGTATCGCGAGTTGCCGCACTTATGGAAAAGTCACAGTTTTCGATTGAAATATCTCAGCATACTACTAATGATAAGATTCTTTTTACTAACCGTCAACATAATGAAGATTCCCTCGTCACAGGCTTTATAACATGAATCAAATGATAATGGAAATAATAAGACGACCAGCGCTTCTCATCAAAGATAATGCCGTATATCAAGTGCAAGCTTTTCTGGAGCTAGCCGATGTGGGAGCACACACACGTGCAATGATCAAGGTCGGGTCATACAGAAACAAACCATACGACTCATAACTTTCGCTACTGCCATCTCCATGATCGGTCTACATGGTAACGTAGCGATGGCCTGACGAAGAGAGGAGATTACTTAGTACTAACTGAACATGCGGCAACATCATTCGCTCAAAGTGCATTTATATAAAGATGGTCCGAAATCATGAGCTAACAGGAAGCCGGTCTGGCCAGTAGCCTATAAAGCGCTTACAATGCATACGTTTGAAAAAACAAGCGAAGGCCATATAGGCAGCAGCCCCTTGAGCAAACAACTAACCGGACGTTTCGTACGGAACGTGCCATCAAATGAGGCGAAACCGCATTTCAAAGACGTAGACAACGAGGAAATCGGCGAATCTCTCGGCAAATTCAGTAGGCTGATGACTAATAAAGCGTTTGTTCACGCATAAACGATACGACAGCTCCGATCTGTACGTTACCTTAATCAAATAATAATTGCAATATAAAGTCACCTATATTTTAGCCAAGGAACACCACGTATGGTATCTTTATGTGAACACTGCGCAAGGATACATGATGATTATCATTAAATCTTTTGTGCCCTTTTTGTATCAAAAACCATGCTACTCCCGCAGCCAAAGTGTTTCTGTAGCTTTCCGAACATATGCAGACCAGCTGCTTCATCAGACGTTGACCTATCGGCGGCAGCACAATCGACGCCGTAAAAATGCTGCATGTGGCGCTAGTTCTGTGTACAAGATTTTCCGCCCTTTCACAAGCGCGACAATGAGCTTCTAAGAAATTGGCACCACAGAAACTAACCACCGTAAACATTTCATTGTATGGAGTCACATGAAAGCAAACTTTCTTAATATAAAACGACAGAAAACTTGTAATTATTTATCTTAACGAGCTTAACGCCCGAATCTCAGTCAGATATCTGTAGACATTTAACAGCTAAATTACGGATTGTTAGCTTTAAATACCCTGTAGAAAAGCAATTCGAAATCGTATTAGCTACACGATAGAAATGTCACGCTGTTGTCAAAATCATTTTAATATTATATCAATTGACGCTTGTTATAATTCGTCCCGCCGAAGGATGCTGCCGTAGGAACAATATGCTTTGAAAGGATCCGTATAGAATTTATCGACTATGCGCCCTTCAGAAGCACTTTTTCAATATAAATATGTAATAAATATGTTTGACAAAAGTAATGACAACAATTCTTGGGAAACCCCCAACAGTCATTTTTCTAGAGAACTAATCTAACCGTTTGCTTCTGCTTTAAGATGCCGTAAACAATATCGTTCCAACAATGGCAATGTTGCCCGCACTGATGTCAATGATGATATTTCGCAATATACTCCCTCATGTCAGAAATCTGTCAGTGGCCCTTAAATCAGATAAACGCCCAAAATATGTTAATTATCTCTTACAACATACATATTTCTGTTAAACTATAAGATAGTCATTTAGCGTTCCATTTGACCTTTCAAGTTTTCTTTTATTCGCCAATTCCATTTCTAAATATACAAAAGTAACCATTGAACGACGTAGTTAACAGCCTTATTCACGAGAAGTCCGGTACGGCCCTCTACGCCTGAACGGCTGCCCCACCCTGGCGAACTTTGCGAGGTTGCCACGCTATGAACAGTCCAACGGGTTTTGCTGCTGCAGTACCAGCAGCGATAGCTATGACCGTACTAGCCTGTATGATACATTATAATATAGACCATGTCGCAGAAAGGACATCAGCATCCGCCTGTGAAGTAGGTTTGCGCACGGCAGGATCCATCGACCAAAATAGGCGGCAGGCCGCTTATGAGCAACTAAGGACGACAGCATATAATGGTTACAATGGCTAAAAGATAGTGCTTCGTTTAGGGTTGTGGGGTAAAAGAACATTTGGGGGTGTTTGGGGAAGTTTGACCCGTTTGTGGGTGACTGCGGATGAGTCGATCTGTGTAGGTCGCTGTATGGCCGCAATGTCCCTGCGTGAAAATCCAAAATTTAGCAGGAGAAAGGCTGTGCGGTAATGCGCGCGTTGGACTTGATAATCGTAACAGACGAACGTTACAGATCTTGGATATCTTAATACAGAACGATAATGCAAGGAGTGAACATTTCACTACAAGTGCATAATACTACGCACTCTTTTTAAGATAACTAACTCTTTCACGTATAAAATCCTAAGATGTATCATAGTACATAGGAGTAATAAAGGTACAAAACCTCCATGATTTATCATTTGTTTAGGCGGAGGCACACAGGCTAATTTAACGTACGTTCTTCCATCAAGATGAAAATTCAAAACGTCCTACAAGTCCTTAACGTTTTCGTAGGTCAAATGTAGGCTGCTGTATTTCATGCAAGAATATCGGCGTTACCCTACCGTCCATTCAGGGGATGCGCAAGTAATGCTGGCTTCAGTGTCTAGCCTTTAATCTTGGTCGGCCTTGTTCCACAAGTCTCTGATGTGTGAACCTCACAAACTAGAAAAGACAATGCCTTTAGAGACAAATATTGACATCTAGTGCTTATTTTAGGGAGCCTCAGGCCTGCCACCAGGCTTAGGTCATTCAAGGTTGTGACATCAGTACGAAATATTGCATTTGTATCAAAAGCAGGGAATGTGTAATAATCCACTAGATAGAATCACAGTATTACGATTATATTTTTCGCTTTATATACCTGCAAAGAACTTCAACAGAGTACTATAGAAGCACATTTGTATTCTTATATAGCCTTACGAAGACCGTCTATAGCTGAGAGGACAAATTAGATTTTGAATATTCATTAGTAAGCCGTGTTTAGTATCGTGTGACGACATAAATCCGTTTCGTAAATTACCGTTTCGATTATTGCGTGGTAAATATTTCTTGAACGAATCGTGAGGTGAAATATCGACGATTCTGGCTCTAATAACGAACCTCGATTTCTATCAAATCGAAAATCTTGATTAAAGGCTTTGGCTCTTACAATCAAGAGAAATAAGCGTCCATTGATGTGAAATCTATTAAATAACATTCGATTTAACCCTTTCATCAAGGGAAGGAACGCCAGTGTCGCACAGGGGCTTTCCAGCATGCAGTGGCCCCTCTGAGGACATTGGGTACATCGTTCGAAAACGAACGAAACATTCCAATCGTATCGTATCGAATTTATCCAATCGCAATTATTATACCTTCCAATAGGAGTATTCTTGTTTGGTTGTGTTTACTAGCACGAAGTTGGCGAGATAGTTAGCATCATTGTTTGTACTTATGACGCCTGCTAAACAACATTGGTCAAACGCATGACTTAGCCGCACATCCCTTAGAAATGGGGCAAATTCGTAGAAACCGCCTCCGTCAGCCGACAGAGATCTCTAGTAACCAAAAAAAAAAAAGGAGCAGCGACGGATAAGCTTACTCGAATTGATCTTGAGATAGCCGGCTATTACGTGACGTTCTTCAACTATTTATAGTTCGATGAATAGGAAAAGTCGAACTGAAAACTATGCTAGAATTGGTCTTTTTTTTTTGGTCATTTTTGTACGGGGGAAACGTCAAAAAATGCCTGAATCAGCTGTTTATATCCTGTCATATAGTAGCAGTAATTATGATAATATCTCCACTAATAAAGGTAGAGAAAGTCCCAGCATGCGATCAAGGCCAGGGTGAAGTTAGCAGACGACCTAGCTAGGTTCTCCAAGGCTCTAGCTACGCTGTCAAAAACTTCAATGATACTCGGTCGTCCTTGCAAAAACGATATTCTGATCAGGAATGTGACTGAGCTGAACAAGAGCTAGCTGACAGGACTTATACTAACGATGCTCTCTAACAGGGGGCCTATTCTCTGGCGTAACTCACGCTTTGTATTTCGCCGTCTACGTTAATTACTGACTACTAGGGTAACCGTGTATAGCATTTGCAACCTTTTATTTCAAGATAGTTATAATAATATTGTAATAATGCTCTTACAGAATGGGTAACTTTAAATTTTTGGAGAAATTTGTTAAGCAGGGTCGTTTCGCGGATGAAATGTTATATTTCTCAGCTTGAACGTCTTAGTGTCTGCCTAGATCAACAGTAAAGTTATTAGCATTTTAGACATTGATTGCATTAATTTGTAGTCTATAATTAGTGTATATCGAATTTTATATGGCTTTTTAACTATTATTATTATTTAATAATATTCATATTATTAGTATAATACTAAAAGGAACAAAAAGGCCGCCAGAAGGATGCTTTGCGAAAAACGTCTGATACTGCTGCGCCCTCCAGTGACCTACTTGAGTAATTTTCGAAAGCTGTCTTATATGAATACATATTTGTTCAGTGTGGACGAGATAATTCCGACTCTGGGCAGTGGGTAACTTCGAAGCCACTGACATATGCCGCACTGGTGTACCCTTATTAAACCAGTTTGACTTTTGCATTAAGTGGACAGAGAAAGCTGTATGGGACGCTAATATATGGACAATCTCCCTAGTTGAAGTAACCACCAATGGCTCCTGTTTACTAATTCCTGTAAATATTTCCCAAACTATGGGTCAAACTAGCGTATTGTGATAAATTCTTAGAGGCGCGATTGCCTGTTGTGAGCTTGCAAATCTCAATACAGACGAAGATGCTTAGTACCATGCAGTTGAAATCAATCGACAGCCCAGCCCATTAATACAGCCTCGTTTCACAAAAGAAACAACACGGTCACACACAACCTTAAAGCAGGATCCTACGCCATGGGCTAGAATTTGATTTAGTCTCGTTGTAATTTTATCACAACAAGATGTTGTTATATGACAACCGGAAAAATAAATGCAATATTTTCCTGGAAAAATCACCCATTTACGATGTGATTGTTGGTGTTTCGTTGTTTATGCAACGACTCACTTGAAGCTGAATTGAATAGAATACAGTAATTAAGATATAGTATCATGTGCCACGCTAATTGAGATGTGTCAACGTCGAACAGAGTTAAAAATTTGTCCGTTAAAACATATCCCAAAACTAATTTACACTATGGCCGCTAAATTATGTCGTTAACATCGAGCTCCTTACGACGCGCCCAACGGCGAGGTTGACACGCGTGCGCAAGCGAGTTCAAAGCTTGCCAGTGGAATTCTTGCGCCTACCCAGACAATGACCTTCATCTTTTGACCTTCTTGGTGCGTATCCAGGACACTCACAGACGTAGTGTTAAAACATCAGGAACTAGGTCGTTCCACTGGAGTCGCTCTGTGTCTCCATAAACGCATTTCGGTTTATCGTCATCCCCTGACAACCAAAATCGAACGTTTCTCGATGCGAATGCTATCGCATGTACTTGCTATAGCAATGATAACCAAATAGTTTTTCCTGCAATTGGTCCTCATAATACATCAAATTATGGGCAGTCTATATCAGCTTATGCATATTGCAAATTAATATTAATTATATTCTATGGATGTAATAAAACGAAGGCAGCTAC